AAACCTGTCTTTAGTGAACACAAAAGCTGTCATCACAGCATTGGCTTCAAGTCTTGCCAGTCAGAGCAGTGTGTGGGCATACTGTACATAGGCTGCACATAGATTTTTATATTGGGAAACATCCTGTGATAATTTTAATACAGAAGACACTCCGCTTTCACTTTTCTTATTAAAAGCAACCAGGTGTTGTTTGCTTTGGGACTGAACCTCTGTCTTTACTCCCAAATTCTGTGAAGGAAATTCAAATGAATTTAGGTCTTTCCACTCTTCAACCACTGCCAGGCATTTAAAATTAATTCAGAATGGGTTTTAGAAGTGTTTGCAGTACTTGGTTTTGGTTATCATAGATGCTTTGGTATCGGTTCCTAGTGTTGTACCTTGGGGAGAATGCAGCAAGTGATACTGGTTACTGTGTTTTAATGCAAATATGGACAGTAGGTGGGGACATACTTCAGATCTGTAGAGAAGCACAGAGAAGCTCATCTATTATTCTAACACTTGTACAGGTACCTGTGAGGTACAGACTAACTAACTGCCATTATGGTCTCTTTATAACCAAGTGGAGATGCAAATAAAATAAAACGAATACAGTTAAAAGTAGGTATCTTGCATTAGCAACACCAGGTTTGAATCTAAACAAAATGGACTATATGTTGGTTGAGTACACATACAAGGACTTGGATTTGGCATGATCCATAGCAATAAACCAAGTAACCCCCATAAAGCACAGTCTCATGACTTCAGCTGGATCAATTTTGGTAGTGTAACAGAGTAAATGCTTAAGTAGTTAGAATTCTGTTAGGAAACTCATTACTCTATTTGTACTAATGCAGAGCATCTAGGTGGCAAAAGAAGCCATCTAAACATAGACCAGAGCAGAGCTTTCCTTTTGCAGAATAGCATTGGGTGGGGAGAAGCTTGGCACTTACTTTCATCTCTCTGCTCAGGCTGGAGGTAGCTTGTTTCTCTGCAAGTTAACTTTCCCATTTGGTTATAAGCCCAGCTGTCTGCATGTTCTTCGTCTACAGCATCACTTTTGCCAGCTTTTGTTTTCCTCCAAATCTCTTTTTTGGAAGGGAGCCAGCCTTTAATAGCTGATTTTTTTTTCAGAAATTGTGTTACTGACTATCCAGACTGCTTCCTAGGCACCTGGGTAAGCACAGAGATGCCTTTCACGGGACGCATCTGCTCCTGGAGCACAGGCCGATCCTTGTAAACAGGAGAGTAGAATCTTCTGAGCTGGGATGAATCTTGCCTCACATGGTGCAGAGTCCACACGAGGCACCTATAAACTAAATGTTTGAAAAAGGTCCTGTTCTAATAAGCACAATGAAGCTTGACTTCTGCATACATCAATTTGAAGCATCTGCAACTGTCTAAGTACAGTAGGCAAACTTTCTGTCCTGCAGAGCAACGAGGGATGCTTAGTTTTCATCTATCCATGTGAAACCAAACATCATCCTTTGTGAACCTTTGTCCCAGCTCTTTCCTCTGCAAATTTCCCTATTAAGTTCAGTGGGACCAAATAAAAGAACTGTGTCATCAGGGATATTGTTAGACTCCCAAGGTGTGCAGTGCTACACCATTTCCTACACTTGTGTTTCCCTCATCAACACACAAAAAAACTCCCACAAAGATATTTTTTACAGAGAGGTAATGTCAATATGGGCACAGGCCTAGGCGACACTCCCTTACTTCTTCTGAGGTTGAAAGGTGTGCACTGTAAAACAAATGTCAGTGAGGATGGTAGGAAACTGTGATGTATCTTTAATTTGGAAAGCAATTTGGCTTCTCAAACAAAGAAGACAGGCAGACAGCTCAGTCATGTCCCATACTTGCCATACAGTTGAGACACAGAGTAAAATACATTGGACTAAATTGAAAAAAAAAAAAAAAAGCACAAGGTTGCATATATGAGAATTTAAGAGGAAAAGTATCAAATGTGATTCATTATATGCATAATGTTCCATTGTGTTGTAAATAAAGCCATTCAAGTGTATTGCTGTAGTTTGTTCTTGGCTGGTGGTAGAGTGCTGTCATAGTGCTGTAAAAGTCTGTTTTCTAATTTTTCTTTTCTTCAAAGTGTAATTAGTAAAGATGGCAGAGAGCTCCCAGTCCTCTACTTTCCTAGTTGTTCTAGAGGAAAAAGAAACGTGATACGCAGTTTTTTTCTCCTTCCTTAAATGATAATATTTATAAAAGAGGTAAAAATGAGAAGGTCAAGGTTAAGCTGCCACTACCACCACATGGAAAACACTGTCTGTGATTGCCAATGAGGTGGTGCATTCTGGACCATAAATAAGTCAACTCGTCCCCGTTAGAAGGGATGAAGAGCACAGCAACCTGCTAACAGCAGCTTTCTGCAGCCGTCAAGTACATCTTTTATTCACAGAGGGAACGAGGAGGAAATAGTGTTGTTAAACCTAATCTCAGGCTTTACCAGCTTTGTAGCATTCTGCTTAAATAGCATAGGAAACAATTAACCTTTGAACCAGGCAAAATAATACGAAAACCCACGTATCTTAAGTATCTTGGCTAGCTCAGCTTTGCAAGGGAGATTACAGTTACAAGTCCACCAACAGGTTATTGCAACAAATGCATCACAAATGCAAATGGCACTTGTCACCAACAATTACCAAACAAAGATGGAAAATCATCTCAGTAACTTTTCATTTTTGGGGTTTTTTTCTTTTTATTTTTTCTCTTTTTTTTTTTTCTTTTTCCTTTTTCTTCGAAGTGAGCTGCTTGTAGTTTTTACTGACAACATTTCTGGTGATTATCTCGTACTACTGAATGCTGTGCACATGCAGGTGGCTGGAGTGGCAGCTTGAAGCACAAACCCATCATGGATAAGATGCACTCAGTCTTCTTATGTGCAGAAGCCCATATGCAAGCCACACAAACTAAATGTGTGGGGCTTCTGCAGCTTTGCACAGTACAGGAGACAGATGTGCACTGACTGCAATAGGTACTCAGCACCACATTCCCCTTCTGTCAAGCAACCTTCCTTCTGTTCTATTTGTTATTGGAAGCAAATACAAGCAGACTATCATTTTTTTTCCCCCCCAATTGGAAGATTTCTATTATTTTTCCTTAAATCAGTAGATATAAATATTTATGGATCCAGATTGCATCCTTTCATCACGATTGCTGATACCACCTCCCTTAAATGTTGTCAATAAAAACACTGACCTTTCTAGGTAGCATGGTGAGAAGATATTATGTGATGAATATTAAAATAAATGCATGAGGTAAAACTGCTGTTATTTCTGATTGTTATATGAAGCATGAATAACACTAATTTAAATGTTGGCAACCAAAAAATGTGCAAAGGAATAAGATAATGGTGTTCACTTCTGGTTAAGTGAAAGATGAGAAGTTGTTTCTGTTTTCTTCTTAACCATGACGTTCTTTTCTTCAGCATCATCTCCCACAGCTTATATGAATTTGGAACTGGTGAAATATACATCTCTTCTGTATGTGTCTGTCACCAGATCAAGAGAAAAATATAAACTTTTTATAATTTTGTATCTGTAGCAAAGTTTGTATTTTTTGAATTGGAAACAAACTGCTTTTTGTCTTTTGGTCTGACTAAAACTTTGTGTATTATTATTATTACTCTTTTGGAAAAACCTGACGTATGAGTTTATGCCATTTTACAATTTCTAAATAAATTCTTAAAACATTGCCAACAAATCCAACATCAGTACCCTATTCGTTATTACTGAGTAAGCAGTCTTGTGTGGATGGGACACTCGTGCAGGACACCTGCTTCATTACCACAGTCAAGAGTAACCCAGAAAAAGCCAGTCTCTTACTCAGATAAACCATCCATGTCTCATCTTAACACATATGCCAGATTCAAACACCTCTCTCTCAACACTGCTCCATTAGCTCTGACTCGCATGTTCTTCAGGGCCATCAGGTAAGTATACAAGTCAGAAAAGGTAAAAATTTGTAATAGTTTAAAATTACACATACTGCTGATGCTGCAAACCATCATTAAGCAGATGCCTTGAAAAGGACTGAGCACTGCTCCAAAAAAAAGCACATTTAAGCTAAGCAACCCAATGAATGCCTGTTAATAAAGAAGAAAGCACAGTGACACTGGAAACAGTGCTAGGGAAGGAACAGAGGCCCATCCAAACCAAACAATTGGCAGTAAACAAAGATAAGAACACAAAAACATCATCCATCATGGTGATAAGGTGTTTTTATGCAAGAGACAGCTTGACATCAACTCCTTCACTGCACAGACTTTTACTGGGAGGAAAAAAAAATAAAAATCAATGGCTTCAGCATTTGGGGAAACAGTAATAAAGCTTAGCACAGTAAGAGGCATGAGAAAGTGCAGATAGGAAACACTAAAAGATATATCCTTTTCTCCCTCATTCTGCTACTTGATTGCAGACAGAAGGCAAAAATAAATGGTCCCTGCTCTCCCTTACCTATAATGAACCAGTTATTCTGTCAGTACTGGTTTCATGCATCAGCATGTGTCTCCAGAACACACAGTTTACTGGTTGAACACACACTTTCATACTCTGTTAATTAATAACACATTCTAGTCCAGAGAAACAGTAAGTGCATAAATGTTTCTCAACAGTTGTTAGCCAAATTGCAGTCATTATAATTTTTGTTAATGTATCCAGTCACAAAACTGGGCTAAAGCTATCATATTTTACTGAGAACATGTAAGTATGTAGTATGGCTAACTGAAATCACCTCAGTGATTTGATGTTAAAAAGAAACAGTACCACATAACAGAAGAGCATACATACCAACATTCCGGGTGTGAGAAACTGTAGCTTCTTGAATAAGCTTTTAATTTTTCCAAGTTTTTTGTTTCACTGTCAACTTAGCATTCCAATTTTCTTCTTTTTATTTTAAGAACTGAATTTCATTCAACTCTTTAACTTTTCTTCTGGTCTTGTAAAACTTGACACCAGGACTGCAAAATTCAGACCCTTCCTTTGGACCAAGTTTCACTCCCAAAAACATTTTGGCAGTTGTGGAGATGGGAAGAGAACTTAACCCTTTAAATTATCTAGGCTGAGTGAGGATGCAAACTCCCACAGCACATAATACCCAAAGCCAGATGAACAGAATTTCATGTAGAAGTGGACATTAAAAATAAACACCAAACTCAAGGATCAAGCAGAAATTAAAAGATACAGGTTATTCCATAACATCCAAAGCCCATCTATTGCCTCACCAAGTTTTGATGCTCTCTACACAATCAGGCTTGGTAATTACACCCTCATATGCAATCATGATTTGACATTTCTTAAGTCTGTATATTCAGTAACTAGATAGGATTGTTAATTCCAGTGTGAATTTGCAATCAATGCTGATTAAGCAATTACAAAGTGTGATAACAGCATTTAGCAATCCAGCTCTAGAGCCATGTGGGAAGAGCAGGCAGAAACACTCCCTTCTTCTTTTTACCTGACTCTGTTTTCCTTCTGGGATCCCTCCCTTTTAGTCCTCAAACTGTATTGGCACAGTGCTTCTCCAAGACTTGAAAGTAAGGTGAAAGGTACAGGGGAAAGACCATGTGAGAAGTTATTCCATCCTTTGCTGTAGTTCCCCCACATCAAGATAATTTCTTATCCTAGGAAGGGAGCAGCTTGTGGTGTTGCTGTTCTCATTGTTAGCTGCAAGCTGGCTCAGATCTCACTGTTCAGTGAGGTTAGAGACCAGCCTATTCACATTCCCACAAGGCGGCTAGGAAGCATGTTTTCTAAATCCTCATGGCTAAGCTGAATTTCACCTGCACACCTAAAAGAAGCATCTCCAATAATGGCTATTTTCCTTCTCATGTATATCTGCTTCACTGCCACAGCTGCTCAATAACCTTAAACATTAAAAAAAAAAAAACAAAAAACAAAGCATGAACTTCTTTCCTCTGTTTTTATCAGTTAGGTTAACTGTTAAACGACAAACAAATTAACCATGAACAATGTGTAGCTACTGGATGTCTGCACCTCATCTGGCATTCAGCTCAGGTCTTGAACGTTGCCTGTTTTTGTACACTGTCTTACATCTCAATCACCACCAAAACAATCATCTGAATCTGCTTATTTGGTGTTCTCTGTAGATATACAGGTTCAGCCTCTAACTCTTATCTTCAGAAAAGTTTCATTTTTCATTCTTGAGAAGATAATTCTGAAATCTTAAAAGGCTTTGCTGGGCATGAAAACTGTTTTATAGTTCCACTCTCCACTAACAACTCAGATAAACACAGAAACAGACGTATGCCCCGTATGTCTTTAAGAACACCTACTTCAGGTTCAGAGCAAATAAGGTACAGCTTTTGTCATATTTCTTCTAGGTGAAAGCAAAGAGCTATACATTTTAATATATAATTCACTAGGTGGATTATTTTTTCACTTAACACCAATAAGTTAATTCTAGAAAGTAAAACGCTTTCTTTAGTGCATATAAAAACAGCCCATGTAACCTTCTTAATAATTAAAAAGTCTTTCTTTTATTTATAAAATGGTAAATTGTCATATTCTCCCAAGAATAGGAGATAGAAGACCCTACAAGAAAAAATAAGGTAAATGAATTAGGACATGGTGGCAGGGCAAGGGATTATGTAAGTCTCTTCTGGTGGCAACAAGAGTTCTGTCTTAATGCTTTTTGTCCATTTCACTTGGTATCATAAGTTCATTTGATAACTTTAGTTGATTTAATTTTCTTTATGTCACCGCTTTGTAGAATCAAGGTCCCATCTCTGAATTTTCCAACTTGTCCTGCAGGCCAAATGCTAGGCACCGATCTCTTCCTTTTGGCCTTTCTGAAATAGCAGTGAGGGAAAATGAATCAAGAGAAACACCAGAAGCTCATTAAAACATTCAATACATTGAAAACTATCACTTTTTTATGCAGTCAGCATTCATATTATGGAATACCAAATTACAGCATATATTGATCCCAGAATATTTATTACCTGCGTTACCGGTCAAAATTTGCAGCACATTACAAAATGAACTACATTAAAAGAAACGTTTGAAAACAAAGATTTTCAGATAAAGAAGATAAAGAGTCTCACATTTCAGCAAGCCTTCTACACTGTAATTAAGAATGTCACTGTACTTTTCAAGCCTCTATCTGCTGTACCTTGTTGTTTTGCAAAAGTTGTTTCTCAGGGCAAATGCTCTGAGTGAATGTCACATCCTGGTCCCCACACAGGGTTTTCCATCCATCCCAGCTGTCATTTTAAAAATGCCAGGGCAGAACTGACACATTTTCACTTAAGCTGTGTAACTAAAGCCTCTGAAACTGCTAAACATGGAACAAGGTCACCATTTTGTAATGAGAGTTCTGCAGTTTGAGAAATTCACACGTAACGTGTGGTATTAGATCATGCATAGTTACATAGGGATAATACATCAGCAAGGCTATACCAAACAAACATAACAGCATTAAAATTTTCTCACCTCTCCTTCAAGTCTTTCTTCTTCTTCTTCAGAGAATCACCTTTATGTACCTGTGTTTAAAGATGCCTATTTTAATGGCAAAGGAACAGTTTTTTGGCTAACCACCCCCCCCGCACACACAACATCCAGTTGTTTTTGCTTCATTGAACCAGATGCATGAAAACAGGTTGGGATACCTTTTGATAGGACAAATGATGCAATGCCTCACAGAGCATCATGCCCAGAGCTCTTCCTGTCACCTTGTGGAAAGCACAGTCCACCCACAACCAAAATGCTACCCCTGCCACGTAAGGACACACCAATCCAGCCACACAAGGGGTACGTGATAGATCCTTGAGTCAAAAGATCTACTTAGTAGCAGGCAAGTACACTTAGCTGCCTGACTGAGCACACTGTCAAATGACAGGGTTTGCCAGTGTTTGGTCATACACTGGGTGTGCTTTAAGCCACATGACAGAGGAGAAATAGGTCCCCTGAAAAAGAAGGTGGCAAAAGACAAGTTGGTGGAGCAGAAACCTGCCTGGCAGCCTGCTCCCACCTACAGCAAGGCAGGGAACAGGCTTTCGGTCGGATGGACCATGCTAGAGGATGGATGCAACACAAACCTCACCCTCGCTTTAAATAATGAGCAAGATCCTAGATGGAATTGTGCTGATATAAAACCAGCTGAACATCTGGCTGCCTGTGGTTAGATAACATGCAACAAACATTAACTGGAGACCAATTTTTTTTCCCTTGAGAGGTATGGGGAGAAAAGCAGAAAAACTGCTTATTTTGCATAATCAATCTTCCATCCTCCAAGAATAGGGCACTGAAACCCACCACAGCACAGTTTGAATTCTGCACACTTCGAATTCTGCACACTTCATACTGCACATGACAAGCTCCAACTGGTGAGATGAGTTGTGCTGGAGTCGAGCTCATCTCATGAGAGCAGCAGGTGTCAAACTCAGGCACTGTGCCTGAGGCATTATCAGGCTCTTGGGCTAGATCTTACATGTTGACCTTTTATAGACAAAATGTCACACAAACCTGTCCCTTATCATCATCCTTTGTTGTTTTCTTCACCTTCATTTTCTCCTGGTATTTCTTGTAGTTGATGTGTTCCTTTTTGGGAGGCTGTAACAAAGATTGGGAGTGATACCTCTGCTGAAATTTTCAAATAGATTCAAAAATATTCACAAACTTGGAAATGTGTGAATTTACAGGGTGCCATTACATCACAGAACATATATAGCATGGAAATTATTTTTCAGGTGGTGGGTAAGCAGAAGAAATAGTTTATTTCACTTTGGATGAGAGAAAGGGACTTAAGGACTGTAAAGCAGACACATAGTAAAAATGTATTTCTTGGTGGAAAGGGATGTTTATACTGTGTAACAAATCTATAAGGTTTCCAAAATAACAGTGAACCTGTGAAGTCCATACCCTCCTCCCGACCCTCAAAGAAAACCTAGAAAAGCTACATTTTCCCCCTTTTACAATGCTGGTGATAAATAAAGCTGAAAAACTTTATTGTTAAATCACTGGGAAAATGGATCTTTATAAAAGCAAGTCTGTCCTCTTAGCTGTTTAGTTTTGAAAGGTCTGTTTAAAAATCAGTATATGTTGTTTTCCACCCCAATCAGTTCTATTTCACCTAAATATCTCCGATACCACAAAAATATTAATCCTCCAGATATCTACAGAAAACTGACAAGACTGAACAAAATACATAAAAGTAAACATGAGGTGGGAGAAGGGGTGGAGAATGGGATCTTGTGTTTTAAAGAAGCGGTGCCAAAACCCCATGGTGTTTCTTACACTTTCCCTGCATTGCAACAGCTGAGTCACCTCCCAGCACAAAATGAGCAAGAATTACCTTGGCTCCCAGCATGATTGCACGTTCCCGTTCCCATATACGCTGCTCCTGCTTCTCATAGCCAGTGATTCCAAACCTGTGCACTTCCAAACGAGCCTAAAACATCACAGAAAATTGCAAGCATTTTACAACAGACTGGACAATTACAAAATAACACTTGACAGACCACAATGAAGTCATACTCCCAAAGACACCTTAGCTAATATTTGAATTCAGTATGCTATAAAATAATAGAAATGGAGTTTTGTACTATACTGCAGAACGGTTGACCACTGTTTATCTAATCTCTGGACAGTAAGGACTAACAGAGGGTCAGTAATTGTTTCTGTTCATTTCACATAAAACTGGATACGTGGGAAGGATATACTTTGCAGAAAAGTGAGTCGTGTTGTGCTGTACACACCAAAGCAATAAAACATGCTACTCACAAGACCTAGCATTTACAGAGCACTCCAATTCCTTGGCTGTAAAGCCATTAACTAGTGAGAAACACAGACAGGCAGATGGTGAAGTGGTTCATCTACATACATACATATTCATAGTTGATACTAGAACACCTTGACAATACCAGTGGTGAACTCAGAACCCTTTTAGAGGCAGTAGTTAAATCCCCACTGTTTCCAGCAGTACAGCACTCCACAGTGCATCTCTACTGGAAGATCTCACTGGATCACTGCATGACCTCAAGCAGAAATCAGGCACACAATACAACTCATTCAAATCTGCAAACAAATCCACAGCTAAAAAGGCCAGTGCTAATTACACTTAGAGAACCAAATGTTAGAACAAAAGGACAAATGGTAAAAAGTAATTTGATGCGTCAAAACTGGATGTCAGATGTTTCTTTTTTTTCTTTCCCCATATGAGATCAAAAATTCATAACTAACACCATAGGCCTAAAACACCATATGCAACACATGATGGGTACTCACATAGCTTTACACAGCTAACATGCAGTGAACATCCTCAATTTATCAGTGAAAGATCAGAAAGAAAGGCCAAGGAGCCATAATGTGCTCTCTAACATGCTCCTCCTCCAGCACAGCACATGGCCATAATTACATATTAGGAAATCCTCACCTGCAAAAGACAACCTTTTCCAGCAATGCTTCTCAGTGATTCCACTGCCGCTTTCCCAAGCATATAAATACATACACACCTGCACAATGAAGCATTGAGATTAGGTAGATGATAGTGACTTACTTTTTCGAAGTTAAATTCTTGCTTGTTCACATTTTTCTTTTCAGCCACTGTTTTGGTCTGTGAAGAAAACAAAACATTTAATTGAATTTTACCTGGGTGTTCTTCTGGTGGACGACAGGTTGGCCATGAGCCAGCAGTGTGCTCTTGTGGCCAAAAAGGCCAATGGCATTCTGGGGCGCATTAAAAAAGAGCATGGCCAGCAGGTCAAGGGAGGTGATCCCCCCCCTCTACTCTGCCCTGGTAAGGCCTTATCTGGAGTACTGTGTTGAATTCTGGGCTCCCCAGTATAAAAAGACAGGGATCTCTTGGAAAGAGTCCAGCAGGGGGCCACAAAGATGGTGAAGGGCCTGGAGCATCTCCCCTATGAAGAAAGGCTAAGTGAACTGGGTCTGTTTAGCCTTGAGAAGAGAAGACTGAGAGGGGACCTGATCCAGGTGTATAAATACCTAAGGTGTGGGGGACAGTGGCGAGGCCAGACTCTTTTCAGCAGTGTGTGGAGACAGGACAAGGGGGAACGGCCAGAAACTGCAGCATAGGAAGTTCCGCACCAATGTGCGCAAGAACTTCTTTATGGTGAGGTGACAGAGCACTGGAACAGGCTGCCCAGGGAGGTTGTGCAGTCTCCTTCTCTGGAGATATTCAAGACCCGCCTGGACACCTACTTGTGCAACCTGGTGTAGGGAACCTGCTTTGGCAGGGGGTTGGACTCGATGATCTCTGGAGGTCCCTTCCAACCCCTACGATTCTGTGATTCTGTGAATATAATAAGTAAAACCAATTTGAAAGCAGTGAAATGCTAAAATGGGTGGCAAGGAAGAGTATGAAACCTCCCAAATGCATATTTTTCCAGCTTTCTCTTTTAATAAATCGAGGTAAGAAGGTCTCAGTAGCATTTTAAATATGAAGATATTATAAGGTGGTATTGGAATGGCCTTGCAAAATTTACAGGGTGCCATTATATCACAGAACATATATAGCTTTGTCCTGCACTTCATTGTCCACACTATTAGCTAATGCTTTCCAAGAGTTCCATAATTCAGACAAAACCAGACAAAATAATAAATTCAATTAATTTTTATAATTTCAAGTTTAAACGACGTTTTAAAAAATGCCACATGTGAGCTATGTATCATGCATACTTCCATTTCAAAATCTGTACCAAAACTGCAAAAGCAGGATACAATGTGAATGTGAAGTTATTTTGCTTTGGACTTGGAGAGATGAGAGGTAACCTTGTGTACTGACAGCTGGTAGCAACACTCAGTACAAAATTCCTTTTGCTCTCTAAAGTGTTTAGACACATCCAGCCACGGGCTCAGGCTGCATCAAAGCACAGCTTCCCTCTGCATACACCAAAGCCAGATGTCTTCTAGCTCTGCCAGACTACATGCAGCTCTGCAATCTATATCAATGAAAACTGGTTGCCTACAGAGCATTTCATTAACAGGCCTAACAGGTCTGCTTTTACAGGCAGAAAAGCAAACAAACAAAGAAGCATAAGAAAATAAAAATCTGGAATAGTTTTTGGAGGAAACCATACTGAAAAAAGCACACAAACACACAAAGACAAAAAAAAAAAAAAAAAAAAAAACAACAAAACTTCAACCAACTGTTCAGTTCACTCTCTAGAGATCCCCAGTTCCGTGCCCAGCTTCCACAGTAGTGAGCCTCACTGAATGCCTGTTAGAACTTATTTTAGAACTGGGCTTCTGATGTTATGGTTATAAGTGCAAATTAAGGCAAACAGCCAGAGAAACACTACAATGCTGACCCACAGTAGACCTCTGCCCATGCGGAAGGCATGGCAGCTTCCAGCCAGGCCCATAGAATCACAGAATTGTTCAGATTGGAAAAAACCTTCAAGACCACCTTTCTCTTCATGCCCTGGCTTTTGGTTGCATGAGGACACTGGGTGCCCACAAACCAACCAGGAGCCTGAGACCTAATGCCTACAAGATACTCCCTCTATAAGATACCCAGTGTGAGCCCCCCCCAAGGTGCTTCTTGCTTGTCAGTGGCCTGCAGGCCCCTCACACCCATCTGTCCTCGAGGTGAGGGCAATACATGAAACACTGAGGCAGAGGAACAATTAAGAGGCTTTTCTGCCTGTTTTATTTGTAGGACGCTGCTAGAGGCTAAGCCTTGCCTTTAGCTTGAAGTAATAAACATATTTATGTAAAATCATGGCCACTGGCAAGCTGGTGAACTGGCAAGCTGGGTGTTTATGTTTCATACTGTATTGGCAGCCACATGGATGGGTTTATTTATGTTGCTGGGATTTACTCTTCTGTTTCCAATGCATAATACTTCATCAGAGATCTTTTGAAATCAGAAGAAAAAGCCATTGGTCATAGAATTGTAAATGTTGGAAAAGGCCACTAAGGCAGCCTAGTCCAACCACCAACCCATGTCCACCATGCCCACTAGCCATGTCCCTCAGTGCCACAGCCACACATTTCTTCAGTACCTCTAAGGATGGTGACTCTACCACCTCCCTGGGTAGCCCCTTCTAGTGCCTCACTGCTCTCCCTAAGTGGAAAATTTTCCTAATATCTGACCTGAACCTCCTCTGGTACAATCATTACCTGTCAGGCTACACCTACCCCTGTTTCAACCTGCCAGCAGGGCTGACTGTCATTAGCTGGGCATCCAGGGAGGGATCTGGGACTTGTAGGCACCTGTACTGGTGGAGGGGAGATGCTTGGAGCAGGAGTTACTGCATTATGGTTGGTAGAGGGCAGAGACAACAAAACCAGGCAAGCACCTACGGATCTTGCTTGCCCTTTGCTGCACCCAGAAAGGCACATCCCAGTCCCTCAGTGTTAAGCCTCTGGCGTGGCTTTAGGGGGAGGGGAAAAAAAAAATAAAAAAAATCCATGCTTTAAAGAACTTCCACCACCCACTCTCGTTTAACGGAGAGCGGCACATTTTTGTCGACAGCTGAGGTTTTCTCGTTTTACAGCAGCACCAACAGAGGAGGGCAGTTTTGGGACGGAGCTCCCAGCCCAGAGGTTCCCCCGTCCCGGCCCTACCTGGGTGCCGCCGCCGGGCGCCGCCGGAGCGGGGTCGGGCCGCGCCTTCCTCTTCCTCGCGCGGAACACCACCACCTCCACCTGGGCGGGGTGCGGCGCGGCGTGAGGCGGCGGCGGCGGGGGGGCGGTGCGGCACATCTCCTCCCGCAGCTCTCCGAAGAAGCCGCGGGCGCCGCGCCGCCCTCCCTCCGCCCCGCCGGCATCGCTCGGGGCTGCCGGCTGCGCTTCCCGGCTCTCCTCCTCTTCCTCCGCCTCGCCAGCATCGCCGTCCCCCGCCGCGCCACGGACGCCGGGCTCGTCACCTGCGCGGCAGAACACGTGCGCGGGTCAACCACGCTTCGCAGCGAGCGGCCCTCCCTCCCGCAGCCCGCCCTCTCTCCCGCAAGCCTCCTTTCGGCCCCGCTCACCCACCCAGGTCGTAGAGAGCGCCGAGCACCGCCTCCAGCCGCCGGCAGGGCTCCCGCGACCCCATGGCGCGCAGAGCGGAAGGCCGCTTGAGCCCGGGAGGCTCCCGTCGCCCCTAAGATGGCGCCGCCCACGGCGCGGTGCCCCCGCCCTCCCCCGCGCCCGCCTCAGCGCGCCGGGCAGCCGGGCCGGGGCGGCGCGGGGCCATGGGCGCCGCAGCGAAGGGGTAGGGCGGCCGAGCGGGGCGCGGCGAGGCGCGGCGGCGCTCGCAGAGCCATGGCGGCGGCGGTGGCGACGGCGGCCGGGCGGGCGCGGCGAGGGACGCCCATGTTCTCGGTAGGCGGCGCGGGGAGAGGGGCCGCCGCCTGCACGGGCCGCGTTCGCTCTGAAGCGGGGCTCGGGCGGGGCCTGCGGGCGGGCGGCAGGTGCCGGGCAGGATGGGAGGGAAGGCCTGCGGCTGTCCCCGGGTTCGGCTGTCGGAGTTCGGCTGTTTGGGCAGCAGCGTGCTGCTGTTGGCGTGTTCTGGGCTGAAGCGGCTGTTAGAGAGCTGTCACATAGACGGGTTTGACAGAGCGGGCCGCCCCGTGTTGTGTCCCCGTTTTTCCCTGAAGAGATTGAGATGTGGGCTGTTAAACCCGTCCTCTCGCTAGGATTGGGGCGAAGGGTTGGAAAAGAGGGATATGGCTCGTAGTTCCAGCTCGGGTTCCTGAGCGGCACTGCTGTATCTCCCTGGCGCTGTGCCGCTGTCCCAGGCGCACACGAGCGCGCTCCCGTTGTTGTGTTCTGAGGATCGTGGAGAGCTGCGGCATCCCCGCTCCGCGCTTCAGCCGTGTGGCAGTAACCACGTACAGAAGTGAGCTCTCTGGTGCCAGGGTTCTCAGCTGCGTATCCTCTAAGTGTGTCTCTGCCAGGCTGCAGGTGAATCCAAGCAGCAGTTTGTCTGTGCGGTTCTTTCGGCTCTCTCCGTGCCACGTTAGGCTGGGACATGAAATCTGGAAATGTGAAGTCAATGGAAGTAATAGACAGGTGACTTCTCCATCGGCTGTGGCTTTGTACAGCCTCTGTCATCCACGACGTGCTCTCATGTTAATGGCTGCAGAAGCACAGCTGCTGCTGGTGTGGCTGATGCTACCAGAGCTGAGTTCTGGGTCCTTTTCCTCTCCCTTTCTCTTCTCTTTTCTTCCAAAAGTGGTTTATTTTTTTCTGTGTTATTTGTATACAGAAAGGTTGCTAGAAGGTATCAAGGCCACAGATGATGGACACAAACTATCTCTGGACTCCTTGTCAGCTTATGGCTTCCCTGGCACTTGTGTGACATCAGCTAGGTGAATGCTGTGGAAGAAGAAAGATTGAAAACTTTAATACTAAACTACGTAGGAAAAAAAGATAATAAAGCTTATAAATGGATGTGGGCCTACATTTAATATAGCATGTATGAGCTTAAACCTATTAATTTTTTAAAAAGCCTGTGTAGAGAGTGGTTGTGCAATTACTGTGGGACAGCTCTCTGAACTACAATACTGGAGAGAAAAGTGAGGTGAACTACCAAGCACTGGTGCAGTAAAGGATGGTACCAAAACCTGGCTGTAGCGTATGGGGGAAAATATAACAATGTCAGGCGTTATAGTAGAGGTTTGTGTTCTCTGATAAAATGAAATTGGCTCTTGATTCACTTGGGGTTTTGAAGGGCTTTTTTTTTTTTTTTTTGTGGTTCTTAAGTGGAGATGTTCCTGATTCATGGTATTTTGTTTTGTTTTTCCGAACTGTCTTGTAGTGACAAATAGTCGGGAGCTAAATGGTGCACAGTGCTCACTCCAAATGTCAGCTGCTTTTGACAGTGTTGCTGATACAGCTACACTGAGCACACAGCGAAAGCTGACTCCTCTCCCAGGGCTGAAAACCTAGCTGCTGCTGCTGAGTGTTTTGCTTATCTGTTTCTGGTGGATGTTTGCTGGCCAGGCCTTTGTCTTGGGGTCAGGGAAGGTTGCTGTAACAGCCTGGGAAGCAATGCCTTTCATCCTTCACTTTTTTCCCCCAGTTTTTTTTTTTTTTTTTTTTTTTTTTCATTTATCATCTTTTTCTAATACTCTTAATCATAACTGTTACCTTTATATTTATGTTTCACTGAGTCTTGCTTGTCTGGTGAGTATTGCTGCTATTTAGAAGTTTGGAAGGATACAATTTGAGTTCTAGAAAGACTGAAGGGTCATTCACATAGGCTGTGCTGTTACAGAAGATAAAAGGAGACATCCCTCTCTAACACAGACTATGCCTGCTGTCTTGGGGAGAAGAGTTTTGTGAAAGAGATTTCTGCAGTGGGATGGATCCGCAACTAGTTCTAGATGCACTGTTAGCTTTCTTTCTTAACTGTGACACTGGTTACTCAGAGGCTGTGCTCTCTTTATAACTGTACTGTGCACTGTGTTGCATTCTGATCTTCACATGGCTGGTAGTTTGCTTTTTGTTTTGTTCCTACCTGGCTGTGCTTTCTGTACCTTTGTATCCAAGCTTGGTAAAAGCCAGAACAGATCACCAAGGTCGGAGGTGCAGCTTAAAGCAGCAGGGATACTACTTTCTTTTGTTGATGATTGTGTTCATATAATGTTGTTCCTGTTATTGTTTTCATGCAGCTGTAAGAGTAGAGATCAAAGCTGCTAATACCTATTAATCATGAAGAGACTAGAGGCAAGGCATTTTAGCTTTAAAGCAGAGGTGTTCCCTAAATCTCTTCCTGTTGGGCAGAATTAAGCAATGTGACATAGGGTGATCTGGAAACTTTTGCAGTTGGAAACGTTTGTTGCTTTTGTTTTGGTTCAATTATTTATTTTTTTTAAGTTTCTAATTGCAGCATTGTTCCAAGCAGTGCATTGTGCATGCACTCAGAGTGTGGAATGCAGACACTACAGAAATATGAAAAGAAGAAAAAAAAAAAAGTAAAGCAACCAAACACTGCAAAAGTTTTGCATCTAATACATTACTACTGCATCCAAGCATGTCCCTCAGTGCCACAGCCACACGTTTCTTCAGTACCTCTAAGGATGGTGACTCTACCACCTCCCTGGGTAGCCCCTTCCAATGCCTCACTGCTCTCCCTGAGTGGAAAATTTTCCTAATATCTGACCTGAACCTCCTCTGGCACAATCATTACCTGTCAGACTACACTTACATGGTTAGTGGGCATGGTGGGCATGGGTTGGTGGTTGAACTAGGCTGTCTTAGTGGCCTTTTCCAACACTTAGAATTCTATGGCCAATGGCTTTTTCTTCTGATTTCAAAAGATCTCTGATTAAGTATTATGCATTGGAAACAGAAGAGTAAATCCCAGCACCCGAAATGGTGCCTCATTCTTTATTTGTATGTTCCTAGCAGAAAGAGCTCACATCAAAGAAAAGAGATGAGTTTGAAGATATCTTGGAGGAAAGACGATTGTCCAGTGACTTAAGATATGCAATGAAATGTTATACACCTGTGATCTATAAAGGACTTTCACCTTGCAAGCCAAATGCTATTAAAAGTGTTGTTCTCCAATCAGAGCAGGTTCAATATGTTATCAAGCAGGTGAGTCTGAACGCTGAACTGTTAAACAAACTAAATTGAACACAGCCAAACTTTGTGTGGCAATAGGAAAAAGGAAATATTGCTGGCCTTGTCAAACACCATAGGTATAGTTTGGTAGGCGTTCCATTACATCAGTAACTTGAGAGCCATTCTCTTCTGGCAGGAAAGACAAGTACTGTTTTACCACAGGGTTGCCAGTAAAGCTGTTAGGTATCTGATTTATATTGCAGTGTTTTGATTTTGCTTATATGACACTTCAATATCCAATTTAACCAGCGTGCTTGACTTTTTTTGTGCCCTTCTCCACTGTCCTTGACACAGAGCAGCATTATGAAAGACACACTCTGCTTAGTAGACACTTTTGTACCTTGAGGATGTCTTGCAGCAATTTTATAGGCTAGCAATGTGTTTATGATGGAATCATAAGCACTACAGTCCCAAAAATGAAAGTTCTATTTCACACAATTCTTTGAAGTAGAAATACTAAGATGTGTCCACATTATTGTTTTAAGATGAAGGGCAGCTGCTACGTTGTATTGAATAAAATATTTTATATTCAACTGACTCATATTTTGAAATGGCTGGAATAAGGGAATTACTTAGCAGAAGTACCTATTTTCAGCATTAAAAAAATAAATAAATTCCAGGGTAGCAGATGTATGCATAAGATATTTCGGTTAGTTTGGAGTGAGTGGCTGCCATGATATTTTTATTTTGAAATGGTTGGTGTCAGGTATGATACATCAAAGCTTGCTATGAGGTTACACACTGAAGCATGATCGACATGTTTCAGTCTTACTGCCATCAGGAATTGCTAAGTAATATTTAATTTTCAATTTGGAAACATTAAAGCATTATCTGAAAGAAAATATTTTACATAGCATTTGTCAGGTAGATGCTTGTGTCATGTTTTCTTCTTAAGTGCTGTTTTTCTGATGGAAAATGATTTTGATAGAAATTTTTCAGATGAGTGTGAAGTGGTTGAAGGAGGTTCGTAGTCTTGCCATTGCAGTCTGCTTCTCAGCTGCAAGCTAGAGATTACTGCAAGTATTGCTGGCCTCTGAACTGAGCCATGCTATTTAGGAAGCTTTTTATTCTGTCGTTCTTCCTCTTTCTTCCTGTTGGATGTTCAGTAAAAAGCATGTTCCTCATTTCATAACAGCAAAAGATGAACTTTTCAGTTAAATATTTCTCTATTTAAAAGAGAATGTAAACTTCTCTTATATAAATAGATGATTATTAAGTCTGTTTAAAAAAAAAACCACTTCAAAATGGAATGTGCATAAGAACAGAAAAAAAACCCAACACATTGATATGCAAAGCTGGTAGAGACAGAGCTTTGTTTGCATTTCAGCTAGCCATTGCCAGAGTAATAAATGAAGTTCTTTGGTTAAGTCTTAAAATCCAACCCAAATGCACTTTTGAGATCTACTAGAATATTTCTGCAAGCTTAAGTTTCATTTTACTAATTAAAGAAAACTGCACACAACTTCTTCAGACCAATAATCTAGGAAATATTCTTAGAGTTTAAACCTCCTCTGAAGGTGCTACAGGCTAAAATATCTAGATAGTATGTTTTCGAGGAAGAAAAGTTACTACTCAGCCCCTGTTGACAGCTCAGCTTTAACATGGCTTTCTCATTCTGTTTGACACTGAACAGATTCTGTAAGATTAAATGTATGCCTACCAGATAAAACTCTAGAATTACTGCTGCTGTAACTGTTGTGGCACACTGAATAGTGTGTGTGGGCAAGGAGAAGGGTGCAACATCTGACTGTTCTTTTGTTTGCTTTATTTCTCTTTAGTTAGCAAAAGAAATGGGAGAATCGCCTGATATTATTCAAGAAGAAGCCATGGAAATCCTGGATGAGATGGGTCACAGTATGCAATTAGGAACTGTCAGATTTTTTGCCTTTACTCTGAGCAAAATATTTAAACAGCTATTCCAGAGAGTTTGTGTGAATGAAGAAGGAATGCAGAGAGTGAGTACTGTTCAAGAAAAACAAAAAACTGTAATATTTTCCTACTGATACTTAGGCAGAGGCTCCAATCTTCACTTCTAGGAAAAAAATACAAAAGATATGCTTCTTTAAAAAAGACTGCATTTGTGTTTACTGCTGCTTTTCTTAGTAAAGAGGAGAAAAGTCAGATGATGTGTATTTGAGGCAAACAGAAAAATTTTTCAAATTCTTCTGATGGTAAGGAGACATTTTAGATAAAGCTTCTTGCATCTTTTGCAGATTATGTAGGCCTTCACTTGAGATGTATTTGGCAGTAAGGATTAATATTTCTAAGGTTTTAAAATACATATTATTCATGCTATGTGTTTTGATGCTGAGAAAGAACATCCCTCATGTACTGAGGTGGCCCTGTCTTTTCAGTCCTGTGGTACCTTTAAGCAATAGGGTTCTATTCTGGAAACATTGCTCCAAATTTCCTGTGGTTCCGTGCTGAAAAAGATATGAAGTGAACAAAGAAACTGTACTCAACGAATGAGCTTCTATTCTTCTTAAGCTGTGTGAAGATCTGTATCTGCAAGTTTCAACAGCAATTCTGCAATTACTGGAACAATATTGTTTATTCTTGTTTCTTTTTTCAGTTGCAACGTGCCATTCAAGAGCACCCAGTTGTACTGCTGCCCAGTCACCGAAGCTATGTAGACTTCTTGATGCTGTCTTATTTGCTATATACTTATGACTTGGCTTTGCCTGTCATTGCTGCAGGAATAGGCAAGTATGTTCTTTTAATGGTGTTTTCAGGATTCAGAGAACCAGTAGCAAGGGATCAGGTAGCTGCTGCTATAAACAGTTATTTAATTTCTGTTGCAAATACTCTTTGTTAAAATGTCTTTGAATTATATGTTTGCATGGTCATGCCCCTCCTCTGTGCTGAGTCCAATCAAAAGTGATTATTTTTCATAGCAAGTTCAACCAGAAGTACCTCACCTGTAGACCCAAGGCTGGGAAAAGACAGGTGTTGTGAAGCAGACTTCTCTATTGCTTTCTTTGCCTGGAAACAGACAAAAGCTTGGCCAAGAGTTACTGTGTACACAGAGCCTTTTGTGACACTTGATACAGCTTTAAGTGCCGTCACAGTAGCCTGATATGAAGTGCCAATTACCTCTTGCTGGTTGGTGGTGTGACTGATTCCTTGAAACTGATTGGTGACATCGGGATTGGAGGCTGCCTGAGCTGTAGTGACCTTGCAATGATGGAGTTCACTCTTGAGGGATATTGGACAGGCAGAGAATAAAATCAGGAAGCTTAATTTTAGGAAAGCCAGCTTTCAGCTCTTCATGAGTTAGTCAACAAAAGCCCCTGGAAATCTGTCCTCAGGGACAAGGGAACAGAACAGAGCTGGCAGATCTTTCAGGAAGCTTTTCTTAGGGCACAAGAGCTCTCCTCAAGGTGGAGGAAGTCTGGAAAGGAAAGCAAAAGACTGGCATGGCTGAACCAGGACCTGCTGGTCAAACTGGAGTGCAAGAAGAAAATGCACAATGGAATCAAGGATAGGTAACCTGAGAGGAGTTTAGTGGTGCTGCTAGGCTGTGTAGGAATGGGGTCAGGACAGCCAAGGCCCAACTGAAATTGGATTTGGCAAGGGGCACAAAGAAGAATAAGAAAGACTTCTATGGGTACGTCAACCAGAAAAGGAAAGTTCAGGAGGGTGTACACCTTCTTGTGAGCAATACAGACAGGCTTGTAACAACAGGCAAGGATAAGATTGAGGTACTCAAAACTTTTTTTGCTTCAGTCTTTGCTTGATACTGTTCTGCACACAGCTGTTGAGTGGATGGTTCAGAAGGTGGGAACTGGGAGTGTCATGCCTCTCCAACCATAAGAGAAGGTCAGGTTTATGACCACGTGAAGAACCTGGACATCCATAAGTCTATGGGTCCTGATGAGATGCATCCCAGAGTCCTGAGGGAATTAGCTGACATAGTTGCCAAGCCACTCTCAATGATGTTTGAAAAGTCATGGCGATCAGGTGAAGTCACTGGTGACTGGAGGAAAGGCCATGTCACATTCATTTTTAAGATGGGTAGAAATAATGACAGAGGGAACTACCAATCTGTCAGCCTCATCTCTGTGCTGGGGAAGATCACGGAACAGATCCTTCTAGAAGCTATGCTGAGGCACAGGGAAGAGAGGGATAACCAGCATGGCTTCACCAAGGGAAGGTCCTGCCTGACCAACCATGTTGTGTTTTATGATAGTGTAGCTGCATCAGTGCACGAGGGAAGAGCTGATGATGTCATCTGTCAGGACTTCAGCAAGGCCTTAGACATGATCTCCCCATAACATCCTTCTCTCCAAATTAGAAATATATGGATTTGATGGGTGGGCTGTTTGGTGGTTGGAGAACTGGTTATCAGATCATATCCATAGAGTAGTGGTCAGTTTCTGAATGTCCAGATGGAGATCAGTGACAAGTGGTGTCCATCAGGGGTCAGTACTGGAACTAGTGCTTTTTAACATCTTCATCAGTGATATCAGCAGTGGGACTGAGTGCACCCTCAGCACATTTGCAGATGACATCAACCTGTGTGGTGCGGTCAACACGTCTGAAGGATGGGAAGCCGTCCAGAGAGACCTAGACAGACAGGCATGACCAATGGGCCCAGGTGAACCTCCTGAGGTTCAACAAATCCAAGTGCAATGTCTGTCACCCGGGTCGTGGTAACCTTTGCTATCAATACAAGCTGGGGGATGTTAGAGTAGAGTACAGCCCTGCCAAAAACAACTTGGCAGTGGTGGATGGCAAACTGAATATGAGCCAGCAATGTGCCCTGGCAGCCCAGAAAGCCAACTGTATCCTAGGCTGCATCAGAAGAAGCATAGTCAGCAGATCAAATGAGATGATCCAGCTCCCTCTACTCTGTGCTGGTGAGGCTTCCACTGGAGTACTGTGTCCAGATGTGGACTCTTTGGTACAGGAGAGACATAGACCTGTTAGAGCACCTTCAGAGGAGGGCTACAAAAATGATCCAAGGGATAAAACACCTCTCCTACAAGGACAGACTGAGAGACCTGGGGATGTTCATCCTGGAGAAGAGAAGGCTCCAGGAGACCTGAGAGTGGCCTTTCAATATCTAAAAAGGGGCTATAAAAGAGGAGACAGACTCTTTAGCAGAGTGCAGAGCTAGTGAAATAGTGTGGGCATGAGGCACATGAAAGATGCTTTTGAATCCCAGTTCCTGGTGTGGCAGTGTGCACTGGGGAGAAGTGTGGTCATGGCAGCTGCATCCTGGCTGAGGGATTGTTTGGGAAGTAGGAGGATGGAGGTAAAGGAGAGGATAGAGTCTGTTCTGTGGTGAGAGAGGGAGGGTAGTAGGACCCTTACAAGAGTCAAAGCTCTTACAGCAGCTGTTGTTGCCCAGAGTCCTGTAGCTAATTTCCTTTTATCTTTTTTCTTCATATCTAGTGACTGAATATCTGTTCTCAAATGTTTTACTGATTGAGATAACAGGAAAGCTGAAGCAGCAAATGGCCAGTTGCTATGTGGACTCATCTTAAATACCTCCCCAGAATATTTGTTACTACTGAGCACTTCCTGCTTTTAACAATCTAAGCATTCAGGGATTGCTTGAAACCAGAAAATTATCAAAAATTTTGTCTGGCTTATGCTACCATTCCCAAATTGATGAGTTGGACTCTTATATAATATAACATAATGTAATTGGTTAGTTTCTTGCTGGGGTTAATTTGTGTCTTCCGAGATGCTTTCAGTGGTAACTGATCTTTCTGGAGATGAGTGAGACAAAGTACTTGAAAAAAAAATAATCCTCATTATGGCTGAAATCTGGATGTCTGAATTATAAAAAGAAAAGAAATTGATATGAGTGCTATTTCCTTATATACACACACATATGATAATGCTTTCAACTATATATATATATATATAACATACCAGTCATTTCTTGCAAGCATTGCAAGCAACAACACAATCCTTGAGAGAGATCTCTTTTATTCTGGTAATTAAATCAGTTTATTACAGAACGTAGTTGGTTCTGCTGGCAGATATTATTAAATTCTCTGTGTGTGGATTTAATTTCTGTTTGATTGTATTTCAGATTTCCTAGGAATGAAGATAGTTGGTGAACTGCTACGAAGGGCAGGTGCCTTTTTTATGCGACGTTCCTTCGGTGGCAACAGACTCTATTGGGCAGTTTTTGCTGAATATGTAAAAACTATGTTAAGGGTAAATACATTATTGAGCTCTCAAAATGTATGCTTAAGAAATACTCTATTGCAATGATTCACTTAAAATAAGTGTGACATCGTGGGCATAAAATTAAAGTCTTCACTGATGGAACAAATGCATTTTACCTCAGAGTTAATGCTGGTGAGGAGCATGCATGTGCTGTTACTGCAGTTCAGCAGTGGGCAGTTAACAAATTGCTGCTTATCAGTTGCCTTGGATTGTGTACCCATATCACATGACAGACAAAATGTTTCTGTTAATTAAACTACATAGTTTGACAAATACAATAGATGAATACAGATTTGAAATGACTGAGGTTGGAGTGGCATGGCTTCCATGAAAAAAAATCTGCTTATGTTTTAAGTACTTTGAATTATTTGTAGGCAGTAAGGAAGAAATATTTTTGTTTTTCTGACCAGCTTTTTGTTTGTTTTACTTTTGAAGAATGGCTATGCCCCAATTGAGTTTTTTCTTGAAGGAACTAGAAGCCGCACTGCTAAGACTCTGACTCCAAAGTTTGGTAAGTTTCTTAAAAATTTGCAACCTTTTATGGTGATCAGTGTTTTCATTAGTGGCTGTGTTCTTCCTAAATTCTTCGGACAGGAAGAGGTGTTGAAGTGGTAGGAAACTGGTGAGGTCTGTGAGCAGTGGAGAATACTACAGTTAAAGTTCCAAAGCTATATTAAGAAGATCAATACATGTCTCTTGCATTCTGTTTTCTCTTCAATTGTGTACTTAATTGCATAATTCTTTCCTCTTTTCTTTCTGGAAAACAGGCATTCCCTTACCACCTCAGAAAAATCATAGATTAACTCTTTGTAAAAGTCATAGGGAATCTTTAGAAAGACATGTACAAGAACAGAGCAGTACTTCTGAAAAGAGCACAAATAGCTGTGCAAATGTATTGCTTACATTCACCTTCTGTTTTAAAGCTTGAACAGTGTCTTCTGCATCTGCTTGCTCCAAGAGGACAAAAATGATGCACACCTATTAGTAGTTTCTAAAATGTAAATCTATCTTTTTCGAAGTTAAATTGCGGTTGCTCTTCCTTCCTTGAAAAAGGCAAGGGACTCACTTTTTTTCTTTTTTTTTCTTTTTTCTTTTCTTTTTAATCTAATTTGCAGGTCTTCTCAGCATTGTGATGGAACCATTTTTTAAACGTGAAGTCTTTGACACGTACCTTGTTCCCATCAGCATCAGCTATGAGAGGATATTAGAAGAATCTCTTTATGCATATGAACTCCTAGGAGTCCCAAAGCCCAAAGAATCTACATCTGTATGTAAATTCCTTAAGAACAGAACATAAGTGGTTGTATATGCATCATGTAGCTCTAAAATTTGTTTTTTACTCTTTCCATTTCCTTAGGGGTTGTTAAAGGCCAGAAGAATCCTCAGTGACAATTTTGGTACCATACACATCTATGTTGGCCAGCCGGTGTCACTTAGAACATTGGCTTCCGGGAGAATCAATCTATGCCCATATAATTTAGTTCCCAGGTACCAAATATTGTTATGGTTTATACAGGAAAGCACTTGTTTAATTCTCAAAAATATTGAAATAATTAATAACTCTCTGTTTTACTTCTGTTTCACTTTCTCTCGCCTCCCCATCATCTTCAGTGAAGATGTTCTGTCTGAGCGCAGGGTTATCATGCTTCTGACTGGTTGTTTCTGTTACAAGTTGTTAATTCCATTGCTTTGTTCTAAGGGGGAGGATATCTTATTTAAAAGTTTATTGTGTTGTATGCCCTAGGCAAAGCTCTATTTTCTGAGAATTCAGTAGCTCTGTCACATAGAAACTCCCCTTTCTTCCCTTTCTTGCTTATTACTGCAAGCAGTTATGTGATCGTGAAGTAAGGAAGATGGAGCTATGGCTGGATGTGGTGATTGTGTAATTTGATATATAAAATCTAGTTTACTTGTTTATTTTGAGGATAGCAAGTAGCAAGTGTACAACATCAATACAAAGTTCAGATTCAAATGTTGTTGTGAATTTGCTGATGTTTTGCTCTGTACTATATAGTGCAAAGAACTCCCCTGCAGATGTTAGGATCTGGGAGCGATACATAAAAGAAATAAGGAAGAGTGTGATTTATATTCCAGATGTTGAAGCTTTTTAACCTTGAACTGCACTGTTTTTTTTTGGTTTTTTTTAGGCATCTTCCACAAAAGCCAACTGAAGATATTCAAGAATTTGTCAGTGATGTAGCTTATAAAATGGAACTCCTGCAAATAGAAAACATGGTTTTGAGCCCATGGGTGCTAGTTGCTGCTGTTCTGCTCCAGAATTTGCCTGCCATTGATTTTGAACTTCTAATAGAAAAGACTGTGTGGCTCAAAGGCTTAACTCAGACTTTTGGAGGATTCATTGAATGGCCAGGTATGCATTGAAAGTGTTATTTCTATTCCTTTTGTTGTTTGTGAAGGATAGATAATATTTTCCTGAAAGCAGTGTTTGGTGACAACTTTACAGATTGTTTTCATAGGTGCTGAGTCACGAATGGATTTTAGCATAAGCCAAAAATGACACTAATGTAGAAGGGGGTTTGTCTTAGGCTGTAGAATATGCTACCTTGAAAGACAGTTAGACTGATGCAGGGGAGGTATTTTACTGTGATTTCTGTAACTGTGGAATGAGGGGGAAATTGTAAGCTGTTTATATTAAGCACCAAGATTTGCCTAGTATCTTTCTGAACCCTATATATTTCACAGGCAGTTACCCATTCTGCAAGGGTAACTGAGTAAAATGCTACGTTTGTGGTATGACACTGAGTTGTTACTGTGATAAGGAACTAGCCCGAACAAATGTGGGAGATAAATAAAATCCAAACTTTCTCCTTCCTTTTCTGAACAATTGTTTTAAACATCTCTCAGTGAGCCAAGATGTGATGCAGATGATGTGGAGCCTCAGGACATAAGTGACAAAGTCAGCAAAGAAAAGTAGTATGTGATGCAAATACATTCACCTTTTCCACTGTCAGTATATTTAAACTATGGATCTTTGCTTTGTAGTCATAATCAAGGATTCCTCTCAGTATTATGATAGAGAAATAAGAGCAGACCACAGTAATAACAGAACTCTGACATTTCTGGAAAAATAGCACTTCTCCTTTCAGGGATCTTCATTGTAGTGAATGCAAACAAAGTCTGCTCCTTCCAGACTGTAAAAGGAAGAATTTCATGGTGATGTTAAAACATTGTTTAGAATCTGATTGCATGGTAAAGCAAAAACATGCTGCTTTCATGTGTGCTTATTTTATTTTATTAGCAACAATGAATAAGCTTTTGCTTTAGTAGAGTTGTGGTGTAGTCAGGGAATGGAAAATGGGCAGGGCATTTGAAATACAGACAACAATTGTGAAGATTTTGTTTGAGTGTGCTGGCCATGCAGTAGGTATTCATTTGTGTCAAAACAAGATTTGCTGTGTGTGTGTGGGTTGGCTTTTCTTTGGCAATAATTTGAAAGAATAAATGTTTTAAAAGGTTAATTTGAAGGCATCACTAAGACAAGCAAGTACATGCACCTCATCTATTCTTCTATCTCCAGACAACCAGCTGTTTCTCCTCGTATCATGCTGGCTGGTTGTTACAGGCAGAATATTTCTTTATATGTTACAATATATTAAAAATGGGAGCTGCAAAATAACTCGATCACGCCTCTGGTTCTTATTATGCTGAGAGGCTTGAGAAAATGATGGGAAAACTGGAATACACTAGCCAAAGGAACAAATAAGGTGCAAGGAGGGTTCTACATGAAAGCCAGTGGGAAAGAATTTGAAATACATATTTTTGTGAAAGACTTCATTGATTTGATATGCCTGTATTGCTGTGATCATGTAAACTGTATTTTTGTGTTCATTTAGCAGTTTTTATTGTTTCTCTGCTTTCCAAATGCTTCGCATTCCATGGAAGTCATGCTTAAAGCTAAAGATAGTTTAAAAACAGAAGTGTATTTCAAGACTTGAGATGCTGTTCTCTGTCTGTTTGTGATGTGTTACTCTGACAAAAGGAAGTCTTACCAAAGTATTGCAAGGCTCATATCTGCCTTTGAAGAAATTTCTTAAAAAGAAACGAGAAAACCACAAAATCCATAGAGTTCTTTGCTTAAGGCATTTTAAAAGAATTTTAACAGAACTTGGGTTTAAGTGCAAACTTTTCTCTTTGAGCAAGTTTATTATGTAATGACATTTCTTTTAGGATTTTTTGAACTTAATTTGGTATGAGGAATGCTTTGCATAAGAAAGCTGTGGAAAAACTTGATGAAGACTTGTTCATCTGATTGAAAACTTACGGTGCTAGAAATGCCTAATCAAAAGTATTTCTCTAAGGATAAATGTATCCATCAGACAGTTCTAGCCTTCTAGTTGGGGGCTCAGAATCTTTGTTCCAGAGACAAAGGAATTTCATTTTATTGCTAGAAAGTGGAAGAATTTAAAGAGTTCTAATTGCAGAACTATCTGAAATTTATTCTCTCCATTGCATACAGTGCCTAGGCCAAGTGTTTTTCTAACTGAATGATGTCATGGTTCTCCTCTGTGATAAAGCTTAATGAAATACTGGTGCATTTTAGGCAGTTTGAACAGAGGTATGTTCCCTATTGTGTTTTCCTGATAGATAATCTGTGTGCCAAAAAAGCAGTTATGTCGGGCCTCACCCTGCACTCCAACATTGCGCGCCTCGTCGATGGCCATGTGGTCCTCAATGACAAAGGAATAGAAGATGGAGCCGTAGGGGAAATAGTCTTTAAGCGGGCTTTGGTCATCCTCATGTGTAGTACCTACAGAAACCAGCTACTGAATGTGTTTGTACGTCCATCTCTGGTGGCACTTGCCTTGCAAATGACACGCAGCTTCAGGAAAGGTACGTTTGGGTAGCATGGAGAGCCCAGTGCCTTCGCTCCCTGCTCTGCCATCAGCAAGAGGGGCAGGAGGTTCCCGTAGCTGATAGGGGGAGGTTCTTGAGAAAGTTATGCCAGGATTCTGAATAAGGTCTCATGGCATAAGGTGAATGTGTTGGGGGAACAGTGGTATTTTGTTTGACTTTCTTGTTTGTTTACCTCCTGATACTTTTGAAAGTAGGCATATTCAGCTGAGAGAGCAGAGTTATGATGAGATGATCGCCATTCTTGTTTACACTATTCTGCAATCCAGAAGCAATTGAGTTTAGAAGTTAAATGTCTGGGAGTGCTTGGGTTCCTTCCCTTGCAGTATGCATTCTGAAACTCCCATAGGGTAAAATGGCCCCAAAAATACTATCAACCTTCATACTTCACCTATTGAAGTAGAGCTTTGTTTGGAAGTCTCTCCTGCTTTTACAGCAAGGCTTCTTTTCATGGTGGTAATACAGTGGTTTATTTGCTTGTTTTGTTGATGTTCAGCAGGCCTGCTTTTTAGGTTACAAGTTCATGTATCATGCAGCCAGTTCTCAATCTTTCTTCTCAGAACTGTATCTGAAGTGTTTCGCTGTTTTCTAGAACTTGTCTCATTAAGTTATATTTCAAAACATATGCCTTGACTTTGTGCAGCATCTGATTATATGGTATTTAATGCATGTTCTGGGAATCTACAGTTCCCTGTTATTTCCTTTTAGTAACAACTGAATTGAGTACTTGCTGTTCCACTGTGATGCTTTCAGTTGTATATATATGTAGTGCTCTGAATGACCAGTCCAAATTCTATCTAAAGTGGATATTCCCTCTAAAATAAGGTTTAAATGACTTTTCAATTGCATGTTTTTAATTACCTTTTTAAACAACAGTGTATTTTTTTTTTTCAGAGGAAGTCTACAGCAGCTTCAGCTTCTTGAGGGATATCTTCTCTGATGAGTTCATCTTCTTTCCTGGTATTTCATTGAAGGTAAAAACATCCCTTATACAACAATAATGATAGTAGTACAGCCAACTAAAATAGCATCTGATTTTGGATCTCACCTTAATGTGTGCTTTATGAGAAATACCTGCAGAGATAATTGCTTGATCTGTGAGAGGAAGAACTTAAAAGAAGGTCAGAGTGGAGGTATTCATTTGGTTAGTTGCAAATTATTGTCTGAATCCACCAGGTTGCCACTCCTCCCCTCCAAGAACCAAAATCCCCCAAAAGCACAGTCCACAGAACCAGAACATTAACTCTTTAAGTTCCACTGCTTTACATGATGTTATGATGTGGAATACCACCAACAAAAATCACAAAACCATGACAGCTGGGCCTGGTGCACCCCAGGCTACAGTTGGCCTTTTGGGCTTCCAGGGCACACTGCTGGTTTGTGTTTTATTTGCTGTCAGCTAGAGCCCCCGGATCCCTTTCAGCAGGGCTGCTGTCCAAGTGTTCATTCTCCCAGCTCCATACATATTTGCAGGGTTGCCCATCTCAATTGTAGAACCCAGTGCTTGCCCTTGTTAAACTTCATATGGTTGGTGATTGCCAGCCCTCCAATTTGTAGATCTCTCTGTAAGGCCTCTCTACCCTTGAAGGAGTCGACAGCTCCTCCCAATTTAGTATTGTTTTTAAGCTTCCTTAATGAACCTTCAAGTCCTGCATTGATGAAAGCACTGAAGAGGACTGTCCCTAAAACAGAGCCTTGCAGAACCCTACCAGTAACTGATAAAATTCCATTTAGTGATGCAACTAACTATAAATGTGTCTTGCTGTTGTTTTTGTTATGGTGGGTTGGTTGGTTGGTTTGTTTTTGGATAAAGCTCTCTGCACTTGTTTAGATGCTAGCAATTCAGTTGTGCTTCCCTCTTCCAGGATTTTGAGGAAGGGTGTTTTCTTCTCACAAAATGCGATGCGATTCAAACAACTCAACAGGAAATCTACCCTACTGACAAAGGAAGTGTTGTAGTATCTTTCTTGTCAGCTATGTTCAGACCATTTGTGGAAGGCTATCAGGTATGATGTTTTTCAGAAATTGTGTTTTTTTTTTTTTTATCCTGTGTTTTGTAGGAAAACTACAAGTGCAGTGATACTTGCGCATTAAATGGCTGGGGAGTGGAAGAATGGAGAAATAGTAGTAACCTGACCATTCTTCAGAAGCCTGATTACAAGTTTGGCTGAGGATTTTCAAAATGAATAAAACAATAAACTATCTTGTAATCTAATAAGCTATATTGAGTTAACAAACCTCACAGGGAGTGTGCTGCTGGCAGGCTCCATTGCTCTTTCTTACTGGGAGTTTTCACTTCATTCCTTTTTTGGACTGCCCTGCTCGGTTCAGAAATGAGTTTGTATGTGACAGGTTCTTATCTCTTTAAATTCTTTTCCCTAAGATTTTAATATAGCTAAATACTTACATTCCTGTGACAAGTAATGTATACATAAGGAAGAGGAGACTAAAATCTCTGATATATTTATATCAGCATAATGCTGAGAGGAATGTAGACGTATGAACTTAGTAGATGAGGGAACTGTTACTGATCTGCTGTCTCTGACTTAGGTTGATTGGTACTGACTTGTGTGGTTTTTCCCATCTGTAAAACAGATAATGCTCTAATAAAATTATACAGGCTTAGATTGCAAGAACAGAAACGTTAAATTAATGTCCAAGGTATCAATTACAGTAATATTGAATCTTATTTTAATACCTCATGCTTGTTAAACAGTAATAAAATTTTCAGATATGCTATTTAATAATACCTTGTAAGTTCCTCTGCTAACTTTTCAAAGTGTAACAATATTACTACTTTGTAAGGACGTTTGTTTGTACTTAAAAACAAATCGACAATCACAAGGAAGTGCTAATTTTTTTTTTCTTTAAATGTTAGTTAATTTTCAGATATCTATCAAAGGAAACAAAAGAAGCCTTTACTGAGAAGCAGTTTGTACCTGGAGTTCGCAACTTTGTTTTTCAACTCCTTGAGAAGGGTACGTACAGCTGTAATGCAATTTTATTTTACAAGTGTGACCTGTTAATGGCAGTGATAAAACTTTTAATTGTGTTTCTGCTTTTTTTGTAGGGGCTACACAGTGTTATGAGGCGCTGTCTTCTGACATGCAGAAAAATGCCTTAGCAGCTCTTGTGCAACTGGGTGCAGTGAAGAAGAAGAAAATGTGAGTCAAATTGGCTCTCTGGTATATAAAAGACAAAGTGTGGCCTTTCTGGAAATTCTTAATGACTGAGCTATTAGTATTAAGCAGAATAAGAGCAATACAATTTCTTGAACAGCAGCCAACTGAAGCATGATTTGGGTGTACCTGAGTTGCAGTGAAGGCCTAGGTACTTCTTCCTTTCTGTGCAGGTTGTGGAAGCGGGATGCCATCCCTCAGGGTGAAAATGCTCCATGGGCTCCAGCAACAGAATTCAGTAACCCACTAGTGGGCTTCTTCTGACTCTCCTTTCTGTGCTTTTTGGTTTTCAAAGTTTCTGTCAGGTTTTGATGTGCAAATAGAACAATCCTGCTTATTTTTAATGAAGGAATTGTTATTCTGTGTTTTATAATAAGACTCATCAGGCAATGCAAGCAATAATTGGAAATTCTAATACTTTTCAAATATTTTGGCACTGACATCTCAAATCAATTTAACTGAAAACTTAGTTATTAAGGTTATTTAATGCAGTTCACAGTGTACAGTTCTAAAGTTAAAAAGCAGCTCTAGTTACACAGGAACATAGTGACATGCATTTCATGTTACCAAATCAATTAGCGTTGTGGTGGTACTACTTCTATTAAAAAGTATAACCATAGGAGTCCCTGCTATGAGTCCTTGCTTGGCCTTGGCTGTTTGCACAGAACACTGCTGGCCACTGAAGACCCTGAGGCATTTTCTTGCGTGTCTGTTGAGGAAATTAATTGTTTAAGGCTTGTAGTGTTCATCGTAAGCACACAAAGTGCTGCTGTAAGTCCCCTGCAATGTCACTGTGCTAAATGGATGTTTACAGCTGGATTCCCTTTCTTCCCCTTTTAAATAAATGAAACAAATTGAGTGCAACAGATTTTGAGACCAGCTGAAGATTTCAGATATATGATTTCAGAGATAGAGTCTTGAAAATAGTATTAATAAAAACAAACAAGCAAATGTTCTTCTACTGCAGTTATCCTTAATGAAAATGGGAAGAGAGACATAGGGAGTGTAAGCATGAAGAAGAATTAAAAAAAAACAACATAACAATCCTTGAGCACAATTTGTTTAAAAGTCTACCATGCCCTAAAAATTAATAAGTTTGCTGGCAGGATGAAAAATATGATTAATTTATGATTATTTTAGTAATTTCTAACAAATGAGAAATAATCATTGAAAAAGCATTGCATGGTTTTGTTTTTGAACCACAGGTCCAATGGATTCTCTTACAGTGTAAATCAAGAGGCTATCCATAAAATCCTGAATGTGTTTGGTAAGTGATGTCTGATTTGTTTGGAAAGCTGCTTGACTTGTACATGAATTTGGACAATGAGCATATACTAGACCTAGCAATATTTCCAGCTGTTTCTTAACTATTTTTCCTAATAATTTGTCAAGTTAATCCATAGAGGAATACGGTATTTTTGGGGTTTGGTGTTTTTGTTTTGTTTTGGTTTGGTTTTTTTGCAATACTACTAACTATGCAGCTTTGAACATCTGTTAGACTTACAGACTCATTAAGGTACTAAAAACCATTAAGGTTGGAAAAGACCCTTGATATCATCAAGTGTAACCATTGGCCCAACCCCACCACGCCAACTAACGGTGTCACTCAGTGCCACATCCACGTGGTTTTTGAGCACCTCCAAGGATGGTGACTCCAGCAGCTCCTTGGGCAGCCCTTTGCTCTTCCTGGACTGGAGGACTGAACTCCTAACATCCAACCTTCTCTATCTGAAACATCACGCAAGCCAATGTCCAAAGAAAATACACCAACAAATAGTTTATTATAGCTTTTTGTGCTAAGCGTTGCCTTTCTGCTTTCCTTGCCAGATGCCAGGACACCTGTACAGAAGCCCATGGCTGCACGGCTCTGAATACAGAAGCTCCACCCGCCCGCTAAGGCCGCACCGACCGAGACCGCGTCCTCTCAGCGCACCCAGAATCCCGACAGGAGCGTGGGGCGGGCTGTAGGGAGTGCGTGCGTGTGTGCGTGTGTGCGTGCTTCAGCGGGGCTGCTTCCTGCTGCCACTGAGAGACGGTGCTGCTGAGGGTTGCAGTTGATTTCTATACTCACCGTGTTTTGTTGTTTTTTAAATTGATTAAATGTTTTTTGGGTTGGTTTTTTTTGTTTGGTTGGTTTATTTTTTTGGGAGGGATACGTATTTAAAGAGAAGTGCACGGTAATGGAGACTCGAATCCGTTTTCTAGACTTGTAACAAGGAACGTGATTGATTGCGGACTGTAACGGGGGACTGAAGGCGTTAACATTAAAACTAACGTTCACACAAGTACTGTCGCCGTGTGGCTGCGCGGAACAGACGCTGCGTTTTTAAGCGCCCGGCACCGCATCGCCGTTCGCGGCCGTAGGGCGGCGCGCCTCGCTTCCGGCGGCGGCGGCATGGCGGGCGGCGTGGAGCTGGGCTTCGCGGAGGCGGTGGGCCCGGGAGGCGCCTGGCGGCTGCGCAGCGCCCACTTCCCCAGCAAGGTCGGGGGGCGGCCGGCGTGGCTGGGCGAGGCCGGGCTGCCGGGTTCCGACGCGCTGCGTTGCGGCCGATGCCTGCGGCCCCGCGCCTTCCTGCTGCAGCTGTACGCTCCGCTGCCCGGCCGCCCCGACGCCTTCCACCGCACTCTCTTCGTCTTCGCCTGCCGCGGCGCCGCCTGCTACCGCCTGCCGGGCCCCGGGGGGCCGCTCTGCGGTGAGCCGGGGGCCGCGGGCGGGGAGGAGCGCCCGCTCCGCTCGCCGCCGCCGCGCTCACCCGCCGCTTCTTCCCCGCAGCGTTCCGGAGCCAGCTGCCGCGCCGCAACGCCACCTACTCCGAGGAGCCGCCCTCCGAAGAGCCCCCGCCGCTCCCCGAGCCGGTCCCGCGGCGGCTCCGCAGCGGCGCCGCTCTGTGCCGCGTGTGCGGCTGCCTGGGACCCCGCGCCTGCGGGCGCTGCCGCCGCGCCGCCTACTGCGGCCCCGAGCACCAGGCGTTGGACTGGCGGCGCGGGCATCGCCGCTCCTGCGGGAAGGACGGGGACGCAGGTGGGGCCGGGAGTGCGCGTAAAGTTGGCAGCAGCCTTAACTGAGGGGCGGCCGTTGGTAACGAGCTGGTCTGTGCCAGTCAGCGGGTCACGCTTTTGAAACGTCTAACAGAAACAGTAACAGCCCGTAATTAATACCATCGTTGTAGAAGGCATATCAGATGCGTTCGTGGCAGCTTTTCTACTCGTAGTACACAACGGATGAAAAATGGTACAGCGTGTCATTAGTATTGATGTTTGGTCTAGCAGCGGTGTAGGTTGAATCTGCCTTTGCAACGTTTGGGCTGTATTTTTGCTTCACAGCACACTGTAGCAGCTGCTTCTGGGAAGAAGAGTGTGAAACATGAGATGACATTGTGAAGTTGTATTTGTTTTTTGTTTTATAGATGCCACTGAGGATGCAGAGCCAGACCATAACGAATTCCTTTTTCCAGAATATGAAATTTTGATAGAACCTGAGGAACCAGAGTTTCCTGCTGACAGCACTGTGGATCCTGACGATGAGAAAGGTGCTGTGGATGCATCAAAGAAACTGGAAAAACAAGAGGAAAGCAGAGTCACAAGTACTACAAGTAAGAAATATATTAGTAGTGAAGCCTGTGTTACGTCTTTAAAACGTTGAATGCTGCAATTCTTAAGTGTTCTTTTTAAGCTACCAGTGACCAAAAGTTACAGCTACAGTTGTTCATGGTGCCTTTTAGTATACATCCCATAATAGAAGTTGCTTTTGTGGGAGGGGCTGAGCTCCGGCCACAGGAGCTGCTGGAGTAGCTGTTGCTGCAGTGAAGCATTGGATGTTAGGGAGTATGCTGTACCTGCTGTGCTTCCCTTAAGAAAGAAGAGACTTGAGTGAGATAAGAAGAGCCCCGAGCATCTGCCATCATATTTAACAAATCTCTTTGTCTGTGCCAGAATAAAATTGTTCTGGAGTAATTCCGGTTGAATTAAAAAAATAATTGAAGCACAGGCCCCTTCTCCCCAAAGTCATTATTTGTAGTCACCTCACAGGCTTTGTACACACCCCGAGTGGAGAGTTTATAGCGTTAAAGGGGAAAGCAAGTGGGTTCCCAGCTGTCCTTTATGGTGTAAAGCTTGCTAGGGATTCTCCATGCTACACATTGATGTGAACGTGGGAGGGCTGTGGCAGGGGTGTAACTCTTAGTGATTGAAACTGAAGTCTGGTCCCTGTGCAGTGTGGGTGGCCTTTTCCCATTGTCACACTCTGCAGGTTCAAGGCATTTAACAATACCTTCTGGAAGCCCTAGATTTTGGTAATTACCTCCTTCCCTTTCTATTGTTCCACTACTGGCATCTATGGCTAAAATGCTACTAAGTCTAATAAATGGGTGCATGCCGGAATCTTAGTGTGCCACAAAAAGGAAAAATAATGTCTTAAGAGTGATGTACACTGGGACTGAGAGCCAAATGCTCTTAGGGATGCAGTATTATTTTTAATTTTTGCTTTCTTGTGTTAACTTGTAATCCTTGTGTGTTTGTTTGTTTTCCTGCTTAGGTGATGCATTAGATGAAGATACATTGGAAGCAATGGCAAAACACGAGACTAAAGAAGACAAGATCTTCCAAACATTTAAAGATCGAATAGCTGTTGAGCCAGAGCAGGTCAGAAGATGAAGCAGCCTTAGAACTTGCACAGTGTTGTCCTCCTGTAAAATGTTTCACTTTCAATCCTTTCATTTCATTCATACAATTAGAAATGGTGATGGGAATGCCTCATCATCCTCTATGCATCTCAATTAAGCTTAATTTCCCATAGATTTCAGCTCATATAAAATGTTGGCTATCTATCTAAACAGTCCTGGGAGGATAAACTTTTCCATGAATATGACTTAAAGGAACAGACCTTTTTCTCCAGCCATCTTAAAGCTGTGTCTACGTCAGTAACTACCAGTTTTATAACACAATGAAAGACAGCGTTAACTTAAACTGCTTCATTTCTGCTTTATTTTAGATAATTAGATACTGCAGAGGAGGAGAGGGCCCAATCTGGGTATCAGGTGAAAATATACCTGAAGAAAAAGATATCCCAAATTGCTTATGTGGTGCCAAAAGGGTATTTGAATTCCAGGTATGTAAATTAATTTAAAGATAATACCATTAATACAGTACAGATTTAATGGAATCTAATTGTAGGGGCGTACACTTAAAGCAAAGTAGTTGAAATTGCTACAGAATAACAGTGCTGACTTGTATAGAACCCATGTTTATTCTTTCAGGTGCTTTTCCCTATAGGACTTCTTTCACATACATAAGGTAGATCCCCATCCTGTTAATTTGCACCATGTGTAAAATGGGGCAGTTGTGAATATGGAACCGACTCTTAAGTCATAGGCATCTGGTATTGTTTGTTCAAAAATACACCTTATAGAAGTATTTGAGATGTGAATTGGAAGTCAACTGAGCTGTAAGCATTCAGCTGTACAGTTCTGCATGCTAAGGCATGCGTATGTTGAATACACGTCATGTGATGCAAAGATGAGCAATGTAATCATGGGGATAATAATTTGAAATGGAGAGTAGCTGCTAAATTTAACAATGCTCATGTACAGAATTTGTATTAGACTTCAGTAGGGGCATGCCTTTGCTTCCCTTTGCATCTAGTACAGTTTCAGGAAGTGTAAACTGTTACTTAGTAGTTGTAACCTGTGTTTTTCCCTGAAGATAATGCCACAGCTCCTGAACCACCTTAAGGTTGACAGCCTTGGGGAGAGCATTGACTGGGGAACACTGGTGGTGTACACATGTGCTGAGAACTGCGGTGCAGAAAACAAGTATGCTGAGGAGTTCATATGGAAACAAGACTTCTCTATAGACTCTACTGAACTTCCATTAAGTTCCTAAGTTGAATCATCTATATATCACGCTTATCTCGTTTTTCAACGCATCTGCAGGAAACTGAACTAACATCAGTTGTCTTGTTGGTAGGGAGATTGCCTAGCAGTTGCCTAGGAGCCCTAGGCAACTTCATTCTTATGCTCTTGAAATTGGTAATAAAGCCAGATACAATTCTTCATTGAATTTCACTTCAAATCTCAACTCTGAATGTTTATTTAAATAAAGATTAAGTGGTTTTGGACTGGTGAAAGTATCTTTTTTTGCAACTGAATTTGAGAATCTAGATGATTGCCTATCAGAACTTCTGCTTTAAAAAATTGACAATAATTCACAGAGAAAAAGCAGACTGCTCTAAGCTCACTTGCGTGCTGATGCTCAGCAGGTTACAGCAGTCATAACTTCGATGTAGCTGCATAGCCTTTAAACAGGCAACTTAATTACACTTTGCTCTTCCAAAAGGTACACTGGATCGTGAGAGGCAGTTGTTAAGTGTTGTGATTAATGGTAATTCAGGATAAAATGAACAAGTAATTGTTCTATTTGACTTAAAACCATAAACTGAGTTAAAATATTTTTGCATTAGACTATTGTAGAAGCAGTTTAAACAAAGCCTGCCCTGGCAGAAGATGTTTATCATCTGTTGTTTACTGTTCATAAGAGCAGACTTTCAATCTGAACTGTTAACTCTGCTATCCATCTTCAGTGAAGTTTAAAAACAGGTGCCTTCTTGTGGAGATTGTTCTGGTATTTGTCTGCTGTATAACTGAGGGAAGAGCGAAAACATAACTGTAATGCTTAAGTAACTGGGATGGTTGCTTAACTACTCCTGTGGATAAAACTGCATTTGCAGTAAAAGAGAGGAGGTGGATTGTTTCTACCTACAATACAGAATTTACTTAACTTACTTATTCCCTTCTCCAGCTTGAGCCCTCCACGTCTGCTTACCAGTGATTCCACAGGCAATTTTATGAAAACACTAGAAGCCACTGCTTCTGTGCAGCTTAGATGCTGGGAATCCTCAACTGAGCAGGCAAAGAACACCTTAAGTGTAAAGCTATTTACTCATCACCACACTTCTAAAAGGATCATTTCCTGGAATAGCACACACCATCTTAAGTCACTACAGCACAACTTGGCTGATTTGAGTGAAAAACCATATGATATATGGCTCAAAGTTTTCCTGCCATATTTAGCAGTTCTGCAGATGCTACAAAAGCACAGATGGCAATACAGCTGAACATTGGACCAGCTTACCCAAATACTACAGCCGCTGTGTGCTGCATCTCATTTAATTATGTAGCTCTGCCCAGTAGTATATCAACTTCCTGCTAAGATCAGTGAAACCAATTATCGAAAGACCTGTTTATAGTGGTGCACACTATAGCAAAGATTAAGAATTAATTTCACTCACAATTTGCAAATGGTATGGTAGCAAAGCCAGCCATAACTACTTATCTGGAATGAAACATCATTTTAATTAAGAGACCATGGTTACATGTGGGTTAGTTTTAGATAAAAGCTGTTTGAAAGAATGTGCAAGTCATAGAAAGGTTATTACTGGAAATGTACTGGAGAAAAAAGTTTATTTTTAGTTCTCAGCCCATTAAGCTTCAATCACACTTCAAAGGGGAGATTATGTACATGCTGACTCTAGCTGGAAGGGCTTTGACATTTTATAGGAACACTAATATAGTGAGACTGTCATAGTTGGTAAAATACAAAAGTGATTTATAAGAAATATTAGAAGCTAAGCAAAAAATCTTTTTGTTCCAGTTCACTCAAGTGTAGCTATGTAAGACTTGCATAAATCCCATCTGTTGAATGGGAGGCAACACATACTTGAACACAAACTCCTATAGCCAGTCTTCTCTTTCCTGTTAGTGTACTGGAAGTAATCAGGCTGGATGTTGCCAAGGATATGACTATTGGTAAGCAAGCCAGAGCATTGTTAAGATTTTCTCCAAATGACAAGTCATTTACAGTAGTGCATGTGCTATTCAAAAATCCAGATTAAATTAAAAAGAACTTCTCAATATATTTCACTTTACCAGCTGTGTAATTTTAAAACTCATTAAGACAGTTCCCATAATTGTATAAACAGGGTTTATTGTACATGTGGAGCTGAAGGAGAAAAGAGGAGGAATATATATATTATATATATATGTACAGTGAGCTGTTTTCATTAATAAATTTATTCTGCCTTGCTTAATACTGGAAAGAGGGAATGTGTCTGGCACCAAAGAAATTTAAAACTGAAGAAATTTAAAAGCTTAACTTTCAAAATTATAAAAACCACGGTCTTAATGGAAGGAAATTAAAACATATATACATGGCAACTTAAGTGGTTTATACACTGAGTGACACGGTCGCATTCATCTTTTAAACCAATTTATGAATTTTCTATTAACAGAACTGGCATTAAAACTATTTAAAAGCTAGAATATAAATAAAACTTGGAGGGACTGCTCCAAGAGCAGCCCAACAAAGCAACTCACAGTAACTCAGTAGACATAATCATCGATAAAACAATTCCCCTTGAGCATCAGGGAAATAGGCACTAACTGGGAAATAGTCCAAGTCTGGTGTTGCAGTTTCACTGAAGTCCATCTCGTTACTGCTGTGCCATATGCAATGCCTTTTAAAATGTACCCCCAATTCCTCTGAAATATGTAGAAACTGTTACGTTGTCTTCCGGAAACCCTTTAAAATAGGATAGATGTTTTCAAATGCTTCGTAGATTTCTGCTCGAACTTTAGCACCTGCAATAAGAGAGAAACTGACTTAATTCCCTCTCTCTCCAGAGCCAAGTAGTTCATTTTAATTTTTAGAATGTTTATTTGAATGCAGCTTTACATACATCCACCTCTATTTCTTCCTTTAAATAGACATTTCCTATAAAACATACATTATCAGGATTAACAGAAGGCAAATAAAGTCCTGAGAGTTTGTTTCATTACCATCTTCATGCTTATGCCATACTTGCAAATGAGATTTTCCAAACATACTTTTTCAGTACACTCAACTGCAAAGCACAGCCCCATAGGATGTTTCTGCAGAAGGGCCTGAACAGTAGAGTTCTATTCAAGAGTGCAAACATCTGGGAAAGCAAGGAAACAGTGACTGAAACAGAGGCCAGCAGAGGCCATAGTGCAGGTAGACGTTCCTTCTTTCATCTGTGATTTTTTTTATTTTTATTTTTTCCAATGCAGTAAGGTTTAACGGAGGGGAAAAGGAAGGGTGTAGGTGGAGTGCCCAAGGTTAAGGAAGCCCCAGAGCTTCGGTATCTCCCCTTCTTTGGCTGCTGCATCAAAGGAAAATGGCAGCAGCCTCCAGTCAAGCTGTTACAATGCAGTGAGCTCAGTCACACGCACCTAGTGCACAAAAGCAGACTTTCAGATTTTGCTGGGAACATTACCTGAGCTCTTTTTGGGCACCTGCCATTCTTCATTAGGATTCAAGATTGCTGCTTATAACATTTTACCAAATACATGTGGTTTGCTTTGTGGGCTCTTGTCCGCAAAACACTGTACTGTCTGTTCTTTCCCAGTACTGTCATTTCTAAAGAAGAGCAACTAATAAATTGCATACTTCTGGGACCATTGTTTCTAATGCAGTCTAAATCTAGCCTACTGGAATAAAATACTTGACTTACCAGTTAAAACCACTTTTCCAGAAACAAAAATAAGCAGAACAATTCTTGGCTTGATCATTCTGTAGATTAAGCCAGGAAACAATTCCGGCTCATAGCTGTAAGAGAAGAGTCATAGTGTTTCAATGTGCCAACAGACAGATGTCCTTAGCCCTTCATCTGCAGAACTGCAGAAACAGACAGTGCAGATGTAGACAATCTGGGAAGAGTAGCAAAGAATTGTTGCCCAATATCAACCCATGAAAATTACATCAATTACCCCAGAGGCAGAGCTAGGATAGGAACGAAGATGCTGGCTCCTCTCTGGTATAAGGAAACAATCTGAACAGACACCACTCTCTAAGCTTGTCACTACATAGCAAGAATGAAAGGTAAGCAAACATTCATTTACCTGCTGAACTGCTGGTGTGTGAGTACCAATCCTTCTAATCTGATAGGAAATTTCACATCACAGCTGCCCACCATGTTCTGAATTTTAAAATCCAAAAATTTTGCAGGAAAACCCAGTTTCTGAACAACTCTTGCATACTTCCTTGCTGCCAGTCTGGACTGTTCTTCGCTGAAGGGAGAAAAGGATAGCCAGCTTATTTCCCCTGTTAAGCACTACTTCAAGCAAACTGCACCAAGCCACAAATATTTAACTGGGAAAGAAACGCTGTATGTGTTGCAGGAGAGGAGAGTTGCAAAATGCTTACATCCAAAATTAACAACTATTAGTGGTTTGCACACTTAGTTGGGGTACTAAAGTCCTGAATACTTTAACACTGTATTTGCTGTTTATGAAGCAGAAGACTCTACTCTGTAACTCCATGTATTTCAACACCCTTCAAATACGTACATGACTCCCTCTGTAAAACATTAAAATTGTTACTTAGGTTTTCAATCTCACCACTGCTAGAATCTACAAACTCCTATAGGAGCCTGTAAACTACCAAAATCTTCCGCTTGATGTGGCCCAGGTACTCAGACCTGGGTTTAACAGAACTACACAGCCTTACTTGCTATTACAGAACGCAATTTGCTTCAGTTTTGTAAACAGCTGAAGATCTGGTTCCTCCTGAGGCAGAGTAAGACAACTTGAATTGCGAACATCACCAGGCAGACAGAGTGTATCCTGTGCATCTTTATTCATCAGTGATGATCAGAGGACTGAAGCACCTCCCCTACAAGGACAGGCTGGGAGAACTGGGGTTCTTCAGCCTGGAGAAGGCTCCAAGGAGACCTTACAGCAGCCTTTCAGTACCTGAAGGGGGCCTACAGGAAAGCTGGGGAGGGACTTTTTGTATGGGTATGTAGTGACAGGATAAGGAGAAATGGAAGAGTTTTAGATTAGATATTAGGAAGAAATTCTTTACTGTGAGGGTGGTGAAACACTGGAACAGGTTGCCCAGAGAGGCTGTGGATGCTCCCTCCCTGGAGGCATTCAAGGCCAGGCTGGATGGGGCTTTGAGCAACCTGGACTAGAGGGAGGTGTCCCTGCTTATAGCAGGCCATTGGAACAGGATGATCTTCAAGGTCCACTTCCAGCCCAAATTATTCTATGATCTCTGCTCATTAACTTATTCTTTCTGGATTCCTAAAGGACTTCTTCAGAGCAGAATTTCTCTCCTGCTCACTGTAGTAAAGCTCATGTTCAGTTTTCAATTCTCATGCCTCGATGATCCCGTTATGAACAGATCAGACTACAGGGACTGGAGACTTGGAGCTCTTGGCCCGCGATGAATGAAACAACTCAAATACCAAATTGCTCTTATCCTGCTGCTGCCCCTACAGTTTAAACAGTTTCAGTGCATAGCCATTCCTATGTGCGTGCACATATACAACATATATATAAACACTGTATAAAAGAAACAGTATTTCTCAAGCATCGTGGTTTCAAAAGAAAAGATGATCTTGCTTAGTTTGCTCATAACAGCTGAACATACCTTTTTGCTCCTGTGCACACCATTTTTCCAGAGCTGAATATAAGCGCAGTAGTACGTGGTTCTCTTATTCTCATAATAACAGCAGCAAAACGCTGAAACGTAGCATTGAAATTATTAGTGATACACAGATGTAACAACTACAATAAAACCAAGTTTGCATAATCTAAGTAGCCACTGCAAAGAAATAATCAGATTCAAATATACTTACAGAAGCTCTTCATTCAAGCATTTTAAGTAATGCTTTAATTAGTTTCAAACACACTTAGAGGTAGAGTCGAACAGGAAGGATTTTTAGTACTGCACTCCTCTTTTACTAAGCTCGTCTCTGACTACCATGTGCATAACAAATACTACTAACATTTGCAACACAATGATAGCGACGATCTTAATACCAAATTTTCCTCCACATCTTGAAATTCAATCTGTTATAAGAAGGATGGAAGGTTAAGCAAATATTTTATGGTCTACTTTGGCTCTGTACCTTAAGCATTCGGGTAGCATTAGAAAATTGTCAAACAGAACTGCTGGAAAGTCAGAAGCCATATTCCATATAAACTGAAGTCACCTCAACTACCATAGTAGAATACACCTGCATTTATAAACATTCTTAAGCTCTCTGAAGCAACTGCAAACTGTTCTGGGCATCACATGCAAAATCCCTTTTTTGTGCTATATAGCTCACATATACGGTCTCATGTACTATTCTGCTGACGTAACGAAGGTAGTAGCATGAGTTACCCAACAACACATTTGTCAAACTATGGCTTAAATAACAGCCAAGCAATGTCTTTGTTTCATAAAAGGATGTACTGACTAAAAGTCAGGAGTGTGTTACATAACCCTTCTTTTCTCTTTGCTGTGGAAAAACAGCATTTCATATTGATCGTTCTAGCCTACAAGTTTTACACAGCCACCTACCCTACCAAGAGCTACCATCGCCTGCTCAAATGTGAGCTGCACGAGCATCTTACTCACATGCAGTTGTTAACAGCATCACTGTTATAACTGACAGTAACAGTCAGTACTGGGGGAAAATGTGAAAAAACAGAGCTTAGAGGGGGAGCGAGGCCACAAAAACCCCATAACTACGCTGCTGCCACAGGAATTCCAGGGCAGTAGCCAGAAGGAAGAAACTCTGGCACACACAGAACAACCATGGCTCTTGCAGAGGCCAGAAATTGAATTCTCCCTTCCTTTCTTCTTGTTAGAAGATAGAGAACAAGACTTGAGCATCAGACATTTTGCAATAACACAAAAACAGAACTTTCTGAGCAAAAGCAACGAGGGTGCCATATAAACAGTAACTCAGGACAGCTCTACAACAACAAAAAAACTTCCCCAGCATATTACACTAATTAGTCACACTGTTCTTTCTAATGCTCCCAAATCCCATATTCACATAAAACACAGCTGTATCAGTATAAGAATGCTTTTTACTCATTCCGAAAAGAAATCTTTAATGAACTTAAATAATTCTATTAACTCTACCATAAAACTGTTTCTGAATAAAGGTTTTTCAATCTAGCTACTACAGCAAAGTACACTCCAAACCTGTTCTGCTGGTACATACCTGTTATTGGATGCATTCTAACATACTTCTCTTACCTTGGGATTATATTCAGCATTTCGGGCACGAAGTGCAATGGTTTTTAGGTCAAGTTTGCAACCAAGATTCACTGTGGACACAATATTCCTGAAAATAATTCAGAGAAATACATTTTTAAAAGTAAATTAAAGAACTAATGCATCTTATCCATAATAGCATGCTTATTAGTTTCATTTTTCTTATTTGTTTAACCAAGCAAGCTTCAATGACATCTCTCATACTGACAGGAAACTCCTCTCTTAGGGCAGTACCTCCTAAGGCACGACTGCTGATTCCTCCTTTTCTGCCAACTATTATGAAAAGCATCCCTTGAGAAAAATATTTCAGTTTGGCAGGAAAAAATTTTTGAGGTTGTGCTGTGAGCACTCACCACAATCCAGGAAGCTGCTGTGAATGGGCAAAAATGCAGTAGCAATGATACTGTCCTTGGGATGTCCTTCAAGGAGGAAGAATGTGATGCGGGACTAAGTGAGAATGCCCTCACAGATAAAACCATTGCTAGGTGTTAGGAGAAAACGATCTCCAGAAAGTTTAAGAGCAATCCAAGGAAATTTTTCATTTAGTAACACTTGTTTACTTAGAAAACACTGAAATCTAAAGGTCTTCCATAGGTTTTAAAAAAATATTAATACTGGAGACTATTCTTTTGGTGCAAAATTCACTTTGTTTAACACCTATTTCTCTTTGGGCCTTCCATACATTGTTGTAAGTCTCTATAAAACTACAGTTCAGTGAAAATACTTTCATACCTGAAACTCAAGAAGCTCTATGTTGCATTAATTGACTAGAAAATGGAGCATGAAATATTAAAGACTACTCAGTACTAGGTTCTAGACTATCAGCCAGTATCTTCCTCTCAACCCTTCCAATTCCATTACAGATGTTATAGTTCCTGTGGTCTGCTTTAAGCTCTCACTACTAAAATTCTCTGCACAGTGAGGTGGATCTACTCACTTTTTGGTGCAAGTTACAAATGAGCGTTTCAAGGCACGTGTATTTTGAAATACCAGATCATCAACTCAGACAGCTTCATAAGTAAAGCAAGACAAACTCTTACAGCACAGAGCTTTAGCACTGTACTGCTAAATGACAACATGATCACAGAATCATAGAATGGTCTGGGTTGAAAAGGACCGCAATGATCATCTAGTTTCAACCTCCCTGCTATGTGCAGGATCACCAGCCACCAGACCAGGCTGCCTAGAGCCACATCCAGCCTGGCCTTGAATGCCTCCAGGGATGGGGCATCCACAACCTCCTTGGGCAACCTGTTCCAGTGCATCACCACCCTCTGTATGAAAAACTTCCTCCTACTATTTAACCTAAACCTGCTCTGTCTTAGTTTCCCCTTGTCCTATCACTATCCACCCTTGTAAACAGTCATTTACAATGATAACATTCTGCACTAATCATACAAATAAATATTCAAGACCACCCTTCCTATCAAAATGTAGTACCCAATTCCTTACGTGGCTTTGCTCTTGGGTATTTCAAATTAAAGCACATCCTGAGAGAGGTCATGCTATACTAGCACACAACACACTCACTGTAGCTGTGGCACTATCCCAGAGCTCTCAGATGCTGGTGTTGCAGGAGTTATAGGAGTCATCGGAGTCATTGGGGAGGGGTACAGAGGTGTGGTTCCCGGTAAAGGGGCTGTGGTAAGAGTCTGTGAGTGGAAGAGCTGGGGAGTTTGACCAGATGTTCCCTGTGTCGCTTGCTGTGATGTAGACTGCTGTGCTGCCTGTTGCTGCTGCTGCTGCTGCTGCCGCTGCTGTTCCTCAAGGATGGACAGACTGTTGGTGCTCTGGACAGGCTGTGGTGTCAGTCCCGTGCCATACGGCATCATTGGGCTAAAAATTGGAATTCCAGGAGTCATTGCACCCTGCAGAAGAAAGTATGAAAAAGGAACCACAGTTCCTTTGACTTAATTTCATTTTAAAGAGAAAAAGCTAGTTGTCTAAGAATAAATCATCTTAGTTGGTCACATCAAACCTGTGGCATATTAGTAATCTGCTAAAAACAGAAAACCTTTGGAAGATTCAGTTCTTTCACAACAGGAATCACAACCTCAATCAATCTGTCAATTCCAACACTGCTTGGCAACAGTCAGTGATGCTGGTATGTTTCCTACAATATCTGAAAAGCACTCAACTCAACTTTGACCCACAATTTCTACTTGCAATCATTAGAACGCAAATGCATTCGCAGCACAACTGTAGTCCATTATGTATAAGCCAATTTAAAGGATTCCAAAAGCAATGAACAAAGTTAAAACGATAGAATGGCTTGAGTTGGAAGGGAATGCCCACCCAATCCTACCCCTTGCCATGGGCAGGGCTACCACCCAGCAGCTCCAGCAGCCCAGGGCCCCTTCCAACCTGGCCCTGTGTGCCTCCAGGGATTGCGCATCCACAGCTTCTCAGGCCAGCCTGTGCCTGACCACCCTCTGAGTAAAGAATTTTCTCCTAACATCCGATTTAAATTTCCGTCTTTTAGTTTAAAGCCATTCCCCCTTGTCCTGTTGCTATTAGACCATGTTAAAAAGTCAGTCCCCCTCCTGCTCGCAAGTTCCCTTCGAGTGCTGGAAGGCTGCAATAAGGTCTCCCCTTCTTATCTCCCACATGTCAGTTATATTTCAGCTTCAAGAAAACCATAAATATTTCAGTATATTTCTTAAACCTCTAGACATATAAATCAATGGTTTTTCAACTCTGCTTTTTACTAATTATTCTATTTTTCATATCTGCAAACATACAAACAAAAAAGACACGAAGAAATTACACAAGAAATTACAAAGAAACAGAAAACACTTTCACAAAGAAATTCAGACTGCAGTTGCATATTACATCATTCCTTTTTACCTGAGGGGAGGCTAAGCCTTGAGCGTAGGGTGGCAAGCTGTTGTTCTGATCCATGATTCCGGTTATTCTTTGGTGAGGCCAGAAATACTTCCTTCAATTAATTTAAATTAATTTAAAACCGAAAGGGTTTTTGACTCTCTAAAGCATTCCAGCAAAGCAGCTTTTTAGCCAAGCTGAAAACGTCAGGAAAACATCAGCTCCAGAGAAAACGTGTTGCAAATCTAACACACTAAACAGAACCTGAAAAGAAAAGAAGTAATATCTTGAGAACAACATTTAAACAAAAGCATACCTATCAGCTGGTATGTTAGATAAGAAACACCCACATACAAATATATGTGAGAACACTCATACGCACGCACACACCCATGCACCTTATATAAAGTAACCTCTTTCCACAGCACCTTACAGCCCCCTGGATGCCCCTGATGAGCACCCACTGCACATGAGCAGCCGCCTCCAGAACTAAGCCCTCCTGCACACGCAGCTCTAGACCTTCATGCTCACGGAACTACATGCTTTGCTTCATCTGGGAAAGCACTGATTTTCAGAACTGAATTCCACCAGTTACTGACAGATAGGCCTAAAGCCACACATTGCTCACACATCTCCTCCTGGGCAGAGTTAAGGCTTGGCCTTCCAAAAATGTTTTTTTTTCTGCTATGGGAAAACACTGCTGGTCAGCTCAGGTTTAGGAAGCCTCCTTTCATCTACTTACATAAAGCAAAACGCTAATGTTTTCTGAATTGCAGTGATGTACTTCATGAGGGGAAAAAGAGAAACTGAAAGCCAGTTTTATACACATGAAATGAACGCATGCTTTTGGGTGTCGTCGTTTCACTTACTGTTTTTTTTTTGTTTTTTAAACAAAGACCATACCTCTACTGGCATGCTATGGAAAGAAACAATACAAATAGAGAATTGAAATGCTTTCATGGAATCATAAGGGTTGGAAGTGACTTCCAGAGATCATCAAGCCCAATCCCCCACTAAAGCAGGTTCCCTGCTGTAGAAAAGTGTCTGGGTAAATTCTGAGTACCTCCAGTGAAGGATACTCCAAGCCTCTCTGGGCAGCTCTGTCTTCCTCTATTTGTACGGAACTTCCTGTGTTGCAGTTTGCGTCCATTGCTCCTTGTTCAGTCTTGAACTGGGGAGCCCAGAACTGGACACAGTGCTCTGGATGTGGCCTCAGCAGGGCAGAGCAGAGTGGGAGGATCACCTCCCTCGAACTGCTGGCTGTGCACCCCAGAATCCCCTTGGCCTTCTGGGCCATGGGGCACACTACAGACAGCAGGTGGGCCGTGAGCCAGCAAAAACACTTAGGTCCTTCTCTGCATAGCTTCTTGTTATGAAATGCTGTATCTTTTTTATCAAATGCTTCGCCATTAGTTTATAGCTTGCTTAACTCGACACTTACGCGGAGAGCTTCAAGGTCATTTTTACGCAAACCACCAGAAAATTTGAAGAAAGCCTGCCCAGCTTTTCCTTGTCTTTAAGGCACAAGAGCTCAGAATCGCATTAACGTAACACTGTAGCCGAAACGGCACCCGCTGTTTTCCCCAAAGGCGGTTCCACGTTTCGTGCCCTGGCAAGAGGCGGCCCCCCGGCCCAGCCGTTACCCAGCACAGAGGCAGCCCATCCGCAGCCCGAACGCCGGGCATGCCGGGACGCGCCGCGCGGACAACACCTCCATCGAACCCATCCGCAACCCCCCGCCTCCGGCCCGATCCCCCCGGCCGAAGGACGCCGTCCGCCCCTCCGAGCCCCGGTACCGCGCCCACGTGCACGGCAAGGGGCCATTACAGCCCGTGCCAAAGCGAAGGCCGCCGCCGCCGCCTTCCCCGCCCGCCGTCACGTGGGGGAGGCGGTGACCGCCGCCCGCCGCCATCACGCCCCCGGCACCAACGGCCGCAGCGGGACGGCTCCCGGCGCGCCGTTCGGCCCCGGGCTCTCCCACACCGCCCATCCCCTCCCTCCCCGCCGCTCAGACCTGCCCGGAGGGCCTCGACCCTACAACGGCGCCCACGGGGAGGTACGGAGCGGGCTCGGCCCGACCGGCCCCTCCCGTCAGAACCGGCGTAGCCCACGCCATGGCGGGCCGGGGCGGAGCGGGACACGTAACGGTCGGTACCTGCCGCGTGCCGCGCCCGGCGACGCCACCACCGCCGCACAGCCCCAGCGGGAGCCAAGCTGCGCCCCGCTCCCGCGCCGCCGGCGCGCGTCGATTGCGTCACTTCCACCGCGCGTCCACCCCGCCCTCTCTACCGCCATCTTGAGTGAGGGCGGGGCGGGCGCGCGTCGTGCCGCTACCCGCGGGGTATTGGCTCTATTCGCACCTCGTGCCGCGGCGTCTGGCACCGCGCTCATAGCGAGAGCCTCGCGTGCTTCCCCTCCTTTCCTCCCGGAATCTGGTCCGGCTCGTGGGGCTGTGCGGTCGCCGACGGTGGGGCGTGGCACCTCCAGGACAGACGAGACGAAGTGCCTGCGCCTCCTAGAGTGCCGCCTCGTTTCCGGTGCCGCCATTTTGCCGTGAGACAGCAGCGGGCAGGGCCGCAGGGATGCTGTCTGCCGCCGGATACGCGGAGCTGAGGCCGGAGCCGGGCTGCGGGGTGGGCGCGCCCGTGCAGTACCGCTTTTCGCCCTACACCTTCAACGGCGGGTGAGAGCCGCGGGCAGGGGTGGGGTGGGCTGAGGCTGAGCGGTGCTGGGCCGCGTCCTGCTCGTTTTGGTCTCGCCGGCGCTGTGCGAGGAAGGCTGTGTCCTGGGCAGCGCCTGTCGGTAGAGCAGTGGGGCAGAGCCGGGCTTGGCTTCGCGCAGGGCTGCGTGTCCCGCGGATCGGTGCTCCTCTTCTGCTTTATTTGTGTGTGCTACTGGGTTTTTTTTCACACTGCGGACCGCTGACCTCTTAGGGGTCAAAGCAAGCGCTTTCCCTTACCCAGGGGCTCGTTTCTTTGTAGTGGCCAGGGAAACGTGTCTAGTGGTGATTTGTTTTTAAGGCTGCAACTGAGCCACGAACTACTTTGTCGTAACTCTTACAGGTGGGTGATCTTTTGCAGATGCTTGCTGTGAATTGACAAGCATCTGGGCAGCTTGACGTTCTTTAATTTTTTTTTTTCCTGATGAGTAACTGCTTTATAGAAGACATCTTTTAGCTACGTAGTGGTAGTGTAGCAACCACAGAGTAATTATTTGGAAATTAATAACGTAGGTTAACATTAAGTTAAAAGAGTGATGCTAACTCTATGGTAGCGGTGCGAAGTGCTTGGCTGGAGTGTATTTGCTTGGAGAGCTAGCCAGCTTTCCTTATCAGACATCTAAAATGGGAGTCTTGTCATTGCTAAGCTTCCGTACGGTTTGTAGTCAAAGCAGAGAATCATGTACATTCTCTTTAGGGTGTCTGGCATCTTTTTTCTTCCATTCTTGAGTTTATGCATAGTGAGAAACATCAAGGAATGTAATAAGGAAGGAATCCACAATGTGAGTGTGGATAGAGAACTTTTATCTTTTCATCACTTGTCTAAGAACCAAGTTGTGCCAAAAATTGTGATTGTATGAATACTCTTCTTCAAGGACTGTGTTGGCGATTGCTGGAGGAGACTTTTGCATTGTTGCCTCTGACACACGACTGAGTGAAGGTTATGCAATTCACAGCCGGGACAGTCCAAAATGCTACAAACTGTAAGTCCGTACCTTATAAGAAATGAAATGGAGGAATGACCCTGTGTATTGATAAGTGTGCTGCCTGAAATTATCTATCATGTTCCTTATGTAGAACTTTCAGGGGAGAAAAAAAAAAAAAAGGTAGTAACAGAATTGGAGTTTTGGAATTATGATGACTTTTGCTGTAATGTGATGCCCTAAATGCAGTCCAGTTTCTTATTGCATGCTGTTGAATGTTTTTAGCATGGTGCCAGACTTGACCTGTAACATAAGCTAGGTATTTTTTTAGCAGAATAATCAGAAGAACTTTTGTATTAACTTGTGTAATAGCTAGTTCTGCTTTGTCAGGCCACCTCACTGCTGTCAGTTTTTTTGCTTATGACGTGTGATCATGTAAACTTGTGTTTTACCTGGCTAACTCTATGCAGTATCTTTGACTCTGTTACCACCCAAATGGAAATTACTTTAGTACAATTAGTGTAGAGCTCATGATGGCTTTGGGTAATCGTGGTGACAGAAACTGAGATGATCTCAATTTAAGTTGTTTTGAGAATGACTGCTGAGTGTTAAGCCTATAAACATGTGTTGTGTTTTAACCTCGTAGACAGCTAAGCATTATGCAGCTGTTTGCTCACTTCCACCCAAACCCTGCAGTGGAATGTGGAAGAGAGCTGGGGAAGAAACAAGGTAAACCAATGGGCTGATGCGAAGATAGCTTGATAGGTCAGAAAATGAAGAAAATAATAATAATAATAAAAGAATGTAAAGCACGAGGCAGTTGCTCTCCACCTGTTGACCAGTGCCCAGCTAGTTCCTGAGCAGCAGTTTCCCCCTCTCCCTCCACTTTGGTCAACTATCACACTTTATTGTTCCACGTGATCCTGCATGGTATGAGACATCCCTTGGCCAGTTTGGATCAGCTGTCCTGGCCCTGTCATCTCCTAGCTTCCCTTGCACCTTCAGTCTCCATCACTGTAGGGCAGTGTGAAAAGCTGAAACATCCTTGGCTCTGTGCATTGCTGCTCAGCAGCAGCCGAAACATTGATGTTATCATCAGTTCTCATCCTACGTCCAAAGCACAGAGCTGTAGCAGCTACTAGGAAGAAAGTTAGCTCTATCCCAGCCAAAACCAGGATAATGTGTTAATGTTTGTAGGCTCTCATAGAAATGTGGATTCCCATAGTTATTGCTTATTAAATGTTTGCTCTGAAACTGAGCAAAGAACTAATATTGTATAACACATCAGCAAATAACTGCTGTTGTGCTGACAGAAAAAATCACCTACAGAATAAACATTATCTCATCAGCTAAAAGCCAGCCCTGGCCAGATGGAGTAAAAGCATATCGAGTAACATGATTCAGATTGTTAATAACTACATTTAGGAGTGCTTGAGGAAACTAAGGTGTTTTTTTTTTTCCAAAGTTTTGCGGTGGAAGTCAGCGGGTTGAAGAGTGACATCTGTGTGATCCCACACTTAATAAGTCCTTTCCAAGATGTAAGCTGCAGTTAGCTTTTATTTGCAGATGACCTGTTACTGCTACATTTTAGACAACTATTTCTGATAGTGTTTGAGAAGCTGGAAATACGTTTGGTATTTTCATAACTTACTGTGTAAGAAAGTGATGTAGCTCATACTAAATCTACTAAATCTAAAATCACAACAAAACTTTGTTTTACAGAACAGAGCATACAGTCATTGGATGCAGTGGCTTCCATGGTGACTGCCTTACACTTACTAAAATTATTGAAGCAAGATTAAAGGTAGCTAACTATCTTAATATATTTAGACACATGTATATTTTTTGGTATCGCATTTGAGACCTATTATAATTTTAAATATGATTTTTGCTGTTTGTCATCAAGTGTTCATATTGTAACTGTAGCTGTATTGCTAGTGAAAGATCAAGCAGAATGAAATTGAGGCCATGTTCTTGCCAAGTGTAACATCGCAAGATTAAAAATTGAAGCGCTGAAGAGAATAATGAGGCAACATCTATTCTTTGCTAAGTCTCAGAAAAATATGAATTTTGCTTTATAGTAAGGCATTACTGCTAGACCAATGTTATTTTTGTAATTATGTTAGTTAATATTTTGCTAAGCATTGTTCTCCTCAGTAATGATGTTACAGAAAATGTAATTTTGATTGAGTATGAATTTGAGTGTGTGACTTTCCTGTTGGATGTGCTGTGCCATTTGCAGATGTACAAGCATTCCAATAACAAGACTATGACTACTGGAGCTATTGCAGCAATGCTGTCTACAATTCTGTATTCTCGACGTTTCTTTCCTTACTATGTTTACAACATAATTGGGGGACTTGATGAAGAAGGTAAGACTTGAAACAAATTTTGTTTGTGCCTTTCAGTGTGGTAGAGATTATGAAATGTGAAGGTTAACTCTGGAGACAAGTTTTCTATGGAGACTTTTAAATGTTAACTAATCTCTAACAAAAATAATGACTTCTACACAGGTGCTGTAAATTTAATTCTACTCTTCCAGGACTTTCTGTGTCCAGGGGTGTGGTTGAGCTGCTAAAATACTGTATTCTCTGACTTTGAGCAGGAGCTCAGAGGTGGTCTTGTGTAGATAATTTCAACCACTCCCCACAGTTTGCTGTTAAAACTAAATTGTAGTGCTTTCCCAGTCTTGCTGAGATGTCTGCAATATGTGGAGGGTGAATCAGTCTGTCCTGCATAATGGGAAATGTTAGACTGAGGGTGCAGCATGTGATAAGAATGAGAATACACGTTTGCACGCATGGGTTTGATTTGGGTTCAGTAAGATTGATTTGTTCTGATTTAATGTTACTGTCTGGATCTGTGCCAGGGCTGCTCAGCAACCAGTACTGTGTGGCCAAGTGCACTGGCCAGCTTATCGCATCAGGTGCAGCCTGTCTGAACAGAGGCAATGAGTGTAGCCAGGCACTGCATTTTCACTCGTATTCCCTTGTGAAACCCTGTAGATGCTACAGTGCATCTCCATTTCTTATGCTGGCACAAGATAGCTTGTTTTGTGCAACCTGGCCTGACTCCAGAGGGAAGCACATAAGAGCCCAAAGCACTATCCCTGTTTCCAGGAAGACACTGCAGAGACATCCATGCACACACTCTGGAAGCAGTTCCAAGAACTGTGCACTTTTGCTGACTAAACTTTCTACTAGTTGTTAAAAAAGTAGAGCTCTCTGTGTAGCACTGTGCTCTAACACATTCTTCTGTTTTGATTATTCTTCATTAGGACTTTTTCTGTGGTAAGTACTGTAGAAAATATCTGCTTGGGCATGGGTATAGCTTAAATCGTGCATATAGGATAACCTTACATATAGGAGGGCACCATAATCACAGTCAGCCTGCTATACAAAGTATTGTCTGAACACAGTGCAGTACTATTTTGTAAAGGTTTCTTAGGAGATTTCTGGTATTCTAGAAACTGCTTATGGACAAAACTGTTTTTTATGCAAATCCTTATCAGTATTAAGAATCATTCTGGATTGCAATTACATACTACTTTTTTTCTTTAAGGGAAGGGAGCAGTTTATAGCTTTGATCCAGTAGGCTCATACCAGAGAGATTCTTTCAAAGCAGGTGGATCAGCAAGTGCCATGCTGCAGCCCTTGCTTGATAACCAGGTAAAATAGTTCTTGTGTTTGTTCTTTGTTCTTTGTGTTTTGTGGTTGTTTTTTTTTAATAATCTCAGTGAAGATTTGCAATATTCAGATTGATGTGACCTTACTTTTGAGAGGTATTATTTGAGAGAAAGTTTGGGTGTATTACAGGTAACATTATCAATCCATACGTTTAAAAATTGTGTGGCTCTACCTTCTCAGGAGGTCTGAAAATGTTGATTTCAGATTTTGTTAAGGTTGGACAGTGGACAGTCTGGTTACAGTAGTTAAACTTGTTTTAATTGAGAAATTGTTTCCCACAGAAGCTGATTAGCTGACAAGAGAGGTAGAAAGATAATGTAAATATTCCTAATACTTGGCATTAAATAGTAATAAATTAAGAAGGCAAAATATATTATATACTCCAATTAATTTTATCAATTAATGTATCACAGAACTGTAGGAGTTGGAAGGGACCAAACCAATCAAGGAATCAAAAAACCATATGGTTGTCTAATATTCTAAAATTTTCTTCAAGTTGTGACTATTTTCATGACATTCTTATGTAAAACTACTGAAAACTTATTTAATTAAATCTGTGAAAACTTGACTGACTTTATTGAAGCTCTTAATTGTTGCATGAGTGAAATCTTTACAGTTCTTTGAACTAATTTTTCAGCCTTGATTCGCTTTTAAGGTTCATTAACTGTAGAGAATAAAACATCTGTTGCAAGTTGTTTTTATCATTTCTGAGTTTGAAGCATAGTAAGTGACCCTTTGCCCTCCTTTTTTATTTTGGAGACTTAAGTAATCAGCTAGGATACACTAATAAAGCCCATCATGTTCCAGTATGAGCTGTTGTTTTTAAATTCTAGGTGCACTTAGGAATACTTGCCTGCGAGAAATGTTCCTAACTACAAAGTGACCAGGAAAGAACTTGTGTAGTTTTGATACTGCTAACCCAGTGAGAAATTTCTGAAGAAATAGATGAGTATCTCGTGTATGCTGATAGTAGGAGAGGATATGCTTCACTTTAGTTGTTAGTGTTGGTAAAGTTCTGACGATGCAGCTATAAACTCTATTGAGAACTACTTCTGCCAACTCTGGGTTTTAAAACAGGCTAATCATTTGTGTAAATCTGCTAATTCTATTGCAGCCTGAAAATGCCTTTGTGCTAGATGAAAGGTACTTCCTTTGAAATGCTTTATCTTTCCTTAGATTGGCTTCAAGAACATGCAAAATGTGGAGCACGTACCTTTGACCCTGGAGAAGGCTTTGCAGCTGGTTAAGGATGTCTTCATTTCTGCTGCTGAGAGAGATGTGTACACTGGTGATGCGCTTAAGATTTGTGTTGTCACCAAAGATGGAATTAAAGAGGAAACCATCCAGTTAAGAAAAGACTAATTCAGTTCACATACAAATGTGTAATCTACGATGTACAATTTAACTCGAATGTGAAGGTGTTTGTCTTATTAAATTTTTTCAAGAAGTTTGACTGTTGTAATTCTGAATATTTTCTTTTCTTTGGTAGAAGTGATTGTGGTATTTTTTATGTGTATGTGGTTGTTATTTTTTTGTTTTTAGAAAACAGAGTAATTCATGATAAGAGACGGGTAAGTGAGGATGTGGTGGAACATCTACCTAGCAGGTTGTCTAGGGCAATAATTCAGGCTGGCAGTGATTAAGTCACTTAGAGAAGCCTGAGGGGTTTAGTATTAAAAGGGACTTCAGGAAACTGGAGCAGTTAATGGGTGGAATGGGAGTACAGGTGGTGTTTTCCTCCAACCGTTCAGTATCAGGTAGTGATAGTGAGAAGACCAGGAAAGTCCATCTGATAAGACACGGCTAAGAGGCTGGTGCCACTGCAGGAATTTTATTTTTTCAACATGGGGTGAATGCACTTGGCCTGATGGTGTCTGCCTAAGTCATAGGGGGGAAAAGGATCTTCCTTTAAACTAGGTTTGAAGGAGGAAGCAGGTGATAGTGAACCTGCCCATGGCAAGGTCCAGGATAGTATAGCTAAGAGGGACAAGGTACTCTTCCCTGAAAAGAGTCAGGGAACACTGTCAATTCAGGAAGCAGTTGGGGAAAACCTCATGTTTTTCCCAGAGGCTTCTGGGAGGGCTTCTCCAAGAAGGTAATGCAGCTGAAAGCCCAGCTGAAGTGCCTCTATACTTATGCATGCAGTGTGGGAATTGGAAACTGTGGTGCGTTTGGAAATCTGTGATTTATTGCTATCATTGAAATGTGGTGAGATGATTCATGTTCAAGGAAGGGAGAAAGGAAGACCTGGGGAACTGCAAGCAGTGAGCTTCACCTCTGTGCCTGGGAAGATTGCGGAACAGATCCTCCTGGAAGAGACGTTAAGGCACAGGTGAGATGTGGAAGTAATCCAAGATAGTCAGCTCAGCTTCACTGAGAACAGATTGTTGCTGAGCAGTCTAATGGCCTTCTAATAATGGAGTGATGGCATGGGTGGACAACTGATGGACATCTGATGTTATCTGTCTGGATTTCTGCAAGGCTTCTGATGTGTTCCCTCACCACATTGTTATGTCTAAATTGGAGATAGGGATTTGAAGGTTAGGCTATTAGGTGGATAAAGAATTGGTTGGATTGTAGTCAGGATTAGCGTCAACTTCTGTGTTTAGAGGGAGGCCAGTCACAAGTGATGTCCTCCAGGGGTCCATCTTGGGACCCTTTTGTCAATGTCACAGACAGTGGAATTGAGTGTACCCTCAGTAAGTTTGCTGCTGATACTAGGCTGAGTGGTGCAGTTGACTCAATAGAAGGGAGGGACAGCAGCCAGAGGGGTCTGGACACACTCAAAAAGTGGGCACATGAGAATCTAATGAGGTTTAACAAGGCCAAGTGCAAGATGTTGCATTTGGTTTGAGGCAGTCCCCAGAGAGAAGAACTCATTGAGAGCAGCCCTGCTGAGATGGACAAAAAGCTGGACACAAGCCACCAGTGTGCTCTTGCAGCCTGGAAGGCCAATAGTATCCTAGGCTGCATCAATAGAGGGGTGGCCAGGAGGGAGAGAGAGGTGATTGTCCCTCTTTGCGCTTGTGAAGCCCCATCTAGAGTATGTGTCCAAGCCTAGGAACCCCAGCACAGGAAGGATGGGATGTGGAACTGTTGGAGGAGGTCCAGAGGAGGGCTATGAAGATGATCAGATGGCTGGAACACCTCTCCTATGAAGAAAGGTTGAGGCTATTCAGGCTGGAGAAGAGGAGGCTGCAGGGAGACCTCATTGCAGCTGTTTAGTGCTTTAAGGAAGCTTCTAAACAGGAGGAGGACAGACTTATTACACAGTTTGATAGTGATAGCACCATGGGGAATGGCTTTAAACTAAAAGAGGGGAGATCTAGGTTGGATATTAGGAGGAAATTTTTTATTCAGAGGGTTGGTGAGATGCTGGCAAAGGCTGCCCTATGGAGAAGCTGTGGATGCCTCATCTCTGGAGGCATTCAAGACCAGGCTGGATGGGGCACTGGACAGCCTAAACTGGTAGGTGGCAACCCTGTGAATGGCAGGGGGTTGGAACTAGATGATCTTTAAGGCTCCCTCCAACCTAAGCCACTCTATTGTTCTATGATACAACGTTAAGAGTGATGCTAAAGGTTTGTTGAAGTCATTTTGGTTGATCTCATGTTAATATATTCATCTAATTACAATGTTAATTTAATGTTGTTCCTGAGTGCCTTATGCTACAATGTGGAGGAGTGTAAATGTATTAATGTTGTATCAACAAACTTTTGTGATAACACAGTTCAGCCTTGGTTTAGTGAGAAAAGCATTAGCTGTGCTACTGCGGCCTGAAACTACCTTCTTTGTAGAAGGAGGAAGGGCATTAAGTGAAATCTTTCAGAGTTGAGTTCTGAATGCTGCATCTTGGCTCACCTCCACAGGTTTATGTTTAGTTGATGTCCAAACTAGGAAGCATCTTTTTCTGGCTGCCGATGGAAAATAAGTTTGTGTGGAGATTCTTGGAAGCCTGTTAATGTTGAAAGTTTGGAGGGGGAGGGGTGGGCTGTTTCCTACTACTGCTTTTGATTCTTGGGAAATTGCATCAAGCGCAGACTGCTAGTTGGATTCCTGGAAATTGGCTTTCGTGCTTGGGCCTTCAGAAAAGCAGGGATGTGTAATCGAGAGTAAAACAATCTTCTTTCTTACGGGAATCTTTTCAGATATGTAGGCACACAGAGAGTGACACACAGAGTATCTTTCTGCTTGAGGTTATGTGCTTGGTCCTTATAAAAAGTAATTTTGCAGAAGTATGTGAGCCTGTAGCAAGTTTGTGACCTGTTTGGAGATGACCAAACTGCAGTAATACAGCATTTTATATGTCATGCATTTTTCCTAGCTCTGGAAAACCTTCGTGAGAGATGATAGTTCAGGCTTTCTAGGCAGTACCAGTAGTAGGTAACTGCTTCAACCTCAGCAGTAAAATAGGTACTGCGTTTAGTATGACTCTGGGAGTAGTTAGGAAATGCAGTGGGGGAACTTGAACAGCTGTTTCCCAAGGTCCCCATAGCCTCTTGGTGCCGCTGTTGGGCTGTGTAAGAAGGGAACATCCAATCTCAAGACAGATGGGCAAGAAAGGAACTCAGCGTCCTAAGTCTGAAGAACACAAGCTAAAGTCACTTGATTATTCAAGTCAGAACTTCTAGGCACATTCAAGTATCTTACAGGAATGTTTAGGCATGCAAAAGTCAGATTAAATGTACATAGCTGTATCTATAGGCTGTTTCTTACTGAGTGCACAACACAGTGTGTAGTTCCAAGAAAGCAAAGAATACATATACTTGAAATTGTCAGCAATGCCAGATTAAATACACCCTATAAAATTTAATCAAAGCAGTCAAGCTCAGCTACCCCTGGAATTGCACAAGTATCTCACAATAGTTTAGTACAGAGTTGCTGAACTCCAATGAAAGTGAGTAGTATTTAAGTTGCAGTGAGAAGCAGCTGATGGTAACAAGTTGGCATGCCTGCCTTCTGGACAGCTCCATCCCAATATACAAGATTTAAGCAGTTATCAAGGAAAGGGAACAAACAAGAGGAGCTATGTAACTTAGACTTGAATGAATGTAATGCTGTTAATTTGAGTGTTCAGGTTGTTTACAGTCACAGAGGAGGTATAATAGCTGGCACTGGAGTTGCAAGTTCCCTTGCTGCTGTGTGCCACTGCTATCTGGTCAGAGCACTGGAGCAGGTGAGATGACCATTTTGTGTTATCTTCAGTTTTCCTGCAGAATACATCTGACTGAAAAATTGGCAGGGAATGAAAGCTTTTACACGGGCCTTTTGGACTGCAAATAGCAAACTCATTTCTCAGAAGAAGATATTAATTATTGTATTCATTTCCTATATGCAGTGGTGTGAAACTAGTGATCTACAATGTTTGTTTCCCAATGTTTTTGACTTCCCTGGTTGTACCCTGCCTTGATGTCCTCACTATTCATGCTCAGAGTGACAGAAGACACATAAGAGGGAAAATATTCAGAGGCTGCTCAGCTAGTTATTGTTTGGTCATTAGTATTAAGATACATTAAAACATTATAGATGTCTCATGCAGATAAAAAGCAGCAAGAGGCTTTTTAAAAATCCATTGAGATATTTAGCTTTGCTTGCAAACATCACATCATCTTGTTAGGGCAGGAAGGTGGGAATACCCTGACTTTTTACAGCCCTCCCTAGTGTTGTGTCTGTAGTTGTTGTATGTAAATCGAACCAGTAGTAATTTTGCACTGTCTACAATGTATATTAATTTTTTATTAAGCACTTTGAGCGCTATTTAGTTACAGAACTCTCTGGGCAGATATGCTGTACAGGTACAGCTGGGCAAAACAAATGTAAGAATACCACTTACAGTTCCTAGAAGCAGAGGACCTGGCAGGTCTAGTTGGCTAAGGATTAGAAGTCTCTTGCATTTCTATGGAAGATAAGGGAGAGGGAAGATCTTTATCTTGCAATACCTTTTCTTAATGCTAAAGAAGTAACACTTGTATTTCAAAACTGAGCTGTTGCAGAATTATTTGGTTAATCTTGGAGTGAGCACTTCTAACCACCTTGATCAAGTACTTGCACATGGTGGAGGGAGTGTAGTGAGCTGCAGTAGCGAGCTCAGCTTCGTCTGCCAGCAGTGCTAAGCAATACCTTAAGATGGCAATGGTTAGTTACTGTTGCAGATTTCAACACAGTTCCACAGGGTGTGGGTAAAAATAGTCATACATACTTTACTGGTTTCCCACTGTAATGTGCTTTGCCGTAGAGTTTACTGAGGAGACGGGAGGCTTTATTTTGATCTCTGCCAAATGGCAGCACATTGTTGCTTATATAAGGGACTGCACAAGGTCAGAATCGGCCCTGAAGTGTAGGTTTGTAAGAAAGTAGGCCTTGCTTTATTTTAGACATATGTTTTCAGCAATATTGTTTATGTGTCAAATCCATTTTGTGTACAGGGGAGGGGGCTTGTTATTATGGAAA